ATTTTCCACAATTATCGTCATAGACATCAATCATGTTCTAGTAACACTTCAAAAACTGAGCACTAAAACTGCTTTTCTGAAATACTGTTGCTACTAACAGTTACCACAGGTTTAAAAATAAGATTAGCAGGGGCGAACTGTAGGAAGCTCCACCCATCACTCTGACTAGCAAGGAAACCTAGTTCTTTAAAAAAGAACATCATAGGAGGGACAGAAGGACGTATTCGAAAGATCTGTTAACTAGTGTGGTTAGGAAACTAATCACCCACATAATAGATGGTAAATAAAAACAATATTTCTTGCTTTGTCTCTTGTATCCTCGAACTTGTATGGCAAAGAAAGTCCAACACTGAATTGATGGTACCAGACTTGTCTGGGAGGATAGCAGCACTGGCTCGATACATCGGTAGGCCACCGCGTGTCATTGTAAAGGCCAGACACCTCCAACGATACCTAATGGAGTCGAATGCATGGCGCATCCCTCAGGGATTGATCAACGCTGGGAGATTTATCCTTTTATCCTTTAAGTACAGCCTTCGCTTAACTGGGTTCAATGCCGATTCGGGCTACCAAGAACAATTCCGTTGACAGGTGATTGGTGATGGCACTGATCAATAGAACTAGCTCAGAGACAGACGAAACGAATGACATGCATGGCGTGGTGGTGAAAGTGCTAGCCCCCGTAAAGGGTAGTAGCGCGTTCGTTCTCCACTGCAGACACCTGCGGTCCAGAGTTTTGCAAATATCTCAGCATCATTGAAATTACAATTATAATTATAATTGTAATTATTATTATAATCATTATTATTATTACTATAATTACAATTATAATTATTATAATAATTATTATTACTATTATAATAATAACTATTATTATATTTATTATCATTATAATTATTATAATCGTAACAATAATTAATATTATAATTATTATTATAATTACTGTTACTATTATTATCATTATTATTATTGTTGGTGCATGACGCAGCTTCTTGTGTACCACATTACTCGGGCGGCAATCCTTCCTTCCCACTATCCACAAAAGTCTTCGGACTTTACATTGCGTGTGGATTCGGCTGTTACCTAAGATTTTTACGTTTTGCTCACGAATATCGTTGAATGCTGGTGGAGCATATTCTCCCTGAAATCTTGAGATACCTATGCTAGGATGCGCTCATATAGATTAGAGATAAAGCGCTCGCCTGAGACAAGGTTGGTACCAATTTTCTGCCCACGAGAGGATGATGAGCTTGGTGCGCCCCATGCAGAAAGCAACCAGCACCTGAGTAGGTTGCGCTGTCCGGCGGATTGATTTTGATCATAACCACTGCTGCTCCTTTAGCCAGTATTGATTTTTCAAAGTATAGTGTAAAATATCGTTCCTGTTAACATTTGTTAGTCATCGATCCGAAATATTCTAAATAGTTCTCTATACTCTCTGGTTGGTCACGTTTCTTCACCTGAACGCAGAAACCGGTCGAGAATAAATCGATAATTACTGATCTCGTGTGTGAACTGGTTTCTTTTCAGTATGATTTATTACTGAAGGAGGAGTTAACTGCAGTACAGATTACTAAACTAGTGCCAAAAATAGCACTAGTCCTAGTCACTTTGGACAGAACAAATGAGCGCGATACAGGGCGCAATGGCTGCAGATAAGGGAAAATGTGAAGTCATGCAAGTAGCCCTTGATACTGTGCATGCTGTTAATGGTTTTTCAGTTCGATTTCAATCGCTTTATTCCGATACGAAAGCTTATTGGGTAGCGAGATGTGCAGCGGTTTGAGACGCCCTGCAATACACATATGGCCATTGGTTCGCTACTGCACCCCGGCCGGCTGACCAAGCCTTTCATCTCTCCGGAGTCGGTAAATTGGTGCCAGAGCTGTTTGAGAGGATAGCGGTATTGATTTTATGCATCGGTAGGCCATCGCGAGTCAATGTACAAGCCAAATATGCATTCAGTCACCTCCAGCGATACTTAATGGAGTGGAATGCATGGCGCATCTCTCAGGGATTGATCAACGCCACGGGCTTTATCCGTTATCCGTGATGAAATCTTACTAGATTTGCAGTCTCATAATTCACTTTCTGTTCTGCAGGTATTAACTTCCTAATAACATTTGTTCAATACAATTTAATGTTAAGTATACAAAAGGCTTAGAAACAAAACTGAAATCGTTCGCCCAGAGAATGAACACAGGAAAACATTGGAAAATGTGAGTGGTTTACTATCAGAGGTTGCCAAAGTTAAGGCTAGGAAACGCGATGAACTTCGTGAAAAGGCGGGCGAAATAAAATTATTCAACAACAGAACCGGCAGAACCGTTGTGGTTCCACAAGTTTTTATTTCTATTATTAGCTATCTGAACCTCCACATAACACTATTATTACGTTTAGGGCCAAATTTGTGTGCCTGTTCGTTTTCGACCCCCCACTTTGGAAAGAGCTAGGGTTGCTTACTAAGCATCTGTCTTACCCATATCCTCTATAAAGCTTAAGTAGGTGCAATCTTCTTTTATTTAGATGGAACTGCCGTTCACTTCATTATTTATTAGTCATTATATCGCCACTATTATTAAATATTACTGTAGTCGTTTGTTATTCAATGAAGTTACCAACCATTTCTATCAAAGTTGTTGTTGCTGCCAGTATTGCTGCGATTATTGTTTTTTCTACTATTACTAATACTATTATCTATTTAACATTACTACTGGTTATTTTGACTACCATTACTGTTACTTAGTGGTGCGTATAGCGCAGTGGTCGGAGACGCCCTGCAATACACGTGGAATCGATCCCAGCGCCCCAGGCTCACCAAGCATTCCATCCCGCCGGGGTCCCCAAATTCGGATAACAACATTAGATGTCTAACCTTTAACTACACGAAGTTTGAGGTTCATGCGTTGGCTCGATGCTTCGGAAGGCTACCGTGAGTCATTGTAAAAGGCCAGGTATGCACTCAGTCACCTCTAGCGATGCTTGAAGTCGAATGCATGGCGTATTCGTCAAGGATTAATGAACGAGGAATATTACGTAGCTGTATCTGTAAGTTGCAAGAACGGAAATGTCGTATTGTTGATATTCCAGCTTTGTCTGCACAGGTACATTTCTATGATAGCGTACGGGCAGACAGAATGTTGTAGGACGCATACGATTAGAGGAGGTAACACCTTCATAAGCAATCGCTTTACCTATACGAATTTTGAGGTTCATGCGTTGTTTACTGGACTTGTATCAAGAAGATTTCATCGAGTTTCCTAAGTGAAATATCTAACTAGAACATATATGGACAAATTTCCGCCAACTAGCTATATCTGCAGCTGGAAAGATGTAACGCATTACAGAAACAACACCGTTCAAAACTGACTATCGCCAAAGATCGTGAAGTAACGAAACGAACAGAAAGTGTGCTGTTGTCAGCTCTGCTCATGAAATTGGGCAAACGAAAAATCAGATTATTTAAAAAAACGTAAAACATCTATGCGTAAGAAAAACATCGCACGGTGGAATCCCTTGAGATGTTGAAAAGGTAGCAGAAGTGAGCAACAGTACACTATGTCACACATCGACGGTAGCATTGATCTGTACCGCTTGTAATTTTATTGCCGTCATTTTAATACAGTTAATAATTTAGTGGCTTTTCACTTCATATGCCGGAGTTGTCCAGTGGGCATCGCTTGCTTGAAGGACACCTTATAATACTCCAGATAAAGCACTTTAATTCAGTTCTTTTCACAATGCTATACCTTTTCATTTTCTGCCTATTACAATTTCGCGGCAGGGTACTAAGCGAAATACAACCACAACGTTGCTGAAATATCTGAAAAACTCTGGACCGCAGGTGCCTATGGTGGGGAACGAACGCGCTATTGTCCTTTCCGGGGAATAACGCGTTCACCACCACACCATGCGGGTCCCTTGTTTCGCCTGTCTCTCAGCTATTTCTATCAATCTTTGCCACAGCAATCACCCGTCAGCGGGATTGATCTGGGGTGCCCAAATCGGCATAGAACCCAGTTAAGCTGCAACTGTAGTTGAAATCACAATGACCCGCATGGTGTGGTGGTGAACGCGTTACTCCCCGGAAAGGACAATAGCGCGTTCGTTCCCCACCATAGACACCTGCGATCCAGAGTTTTGCAAATATCTCGGCAACGTTGTCAGTTCTTTTCGCTCAAAATCCATCCATGACTAGGTTTTGAGATTCTACCGATGAATATGGATCTACTCCTGAGTTTCTGGACCATATCGATGTAAAGTGTAAACATGGAGCCTACTTGTTAGGAGCGAATCCAATCGCGTTCTATGTTTCCCACTCATTTGATTGCATGCTTTTAACCGAACTGGTACACAGGATACGAGATACGAACGCGAAGGACAAGTCCATTCACAAACACAAATATGTGGTGCACATGTATATATATATATATATGTATATATATATATACATATATATAAAGCTAGAAAGGATAACGCTCTCGGTGTTGATCAATCCTTGAGGGATGCACCATGCACTCGATTTCACTATAATGTATAATGTGCTTTGATCAAATTTTGTATAAAGTAGTTTTAGTCGCAGGTTAAGGCAGATTTCAAGTGAGAAAAACCAATATAATCTCTTGAACAAAGAAGTGAAAAATGTTTAGATTCGCTATCAATTCGCGAAAATGATTCACTATCAATTCGTAATCCTTGGTGGCTAATAGAAGGATGCGAATAAGTCAGCGGTTAGGCGCCTTGCCCTACAATGCACACAGGGTCGTGTCTGTCCAAACCAGTGCCCCGAACAGATCAAGCCCTACGTCTTTCGGAGGCCGGCTGTGGTTGGTGATACACTTACCTGTGGGAGTAAAAATACTGACTTCACAATATTGGATGAGCACCGGATGCGACTTTAAAGGGCAAATATGCATTCAATCGAATGCATAGCACATCGTTAATGAGATTTGATCAACGAAGGGAACGCTTTACAAGTGTGTTTTATGGACTGATGAATCCTACGATGGTTTTCTGCGCAACTCAGACAACTTCTGCGTGATGGCTTTCAAGACATCGTCGACGCCAATTCGCTTTTCCGAATGATCAACAAGCAGCCTCTTCAGCGTCGCCAGCGACTTCGCATGACCTGCTAGTGCTTTCTCCACTATCTTTCCATTTCTTTCGAACATTTCTTCCACCATATTGTGAATGATGTTCTCGTCCGTTATTCGCCATAAGTTCTTCGTATCGAACAACTGAAAACAGTGCATTAACATGGTAATTCTTATCAGGTTTATCAGCAGTTAGTCATAAGAAGTAGCACTTGCAGCGCAACAGAAGGTCAGATATTCAAATAAAGAATTCTTTGATTAAAGTTGACATCTTCTTGCCCTTCGATTTCTTTCCCCTTGATTCACTTCAAGTAATCATATTTTGTTTAGTCAAAGAAGCGGAAAGTTGTCAAATCTTTTTAAGTCTTACTTCTTCAAGTTTCTTTCTAATTCACTGATGATGTTCTGTAGGGAGAATTCTAAATAAAACGTAGAAATAAAATCAAAACAAATTTCAAGACAATGGGTATTGTTTTGTATAAGTGCCACCTTATTCGTGATTATATCTCAGACAGAGAACGATAAAAAGCCGAAAATTGCTCACCTATTGTGTAATAAATGGATATCGATTGGCTGGCTATTATGACGATTTCAGAGGGAACGTGGAGTAGTAAGAATAAGCTCACCTCCGATAGCATAATATGCTTATAGAAGACCAAACTTTTTGATTTGATAAAAGATACCACCGAAAAGAAGTAATCTATTAGCGAAAAGAGAATAAAACACCTCGTGGGTCATAAGATATCGCGTATAAGTGAAAGCGAAAATTCCACAAAAAGACATTGAAATTCTGGCAGAGTTCACGTTGATAGTACCAGTTTGTCAAAGGAAAAAATTGTTACGGTGCCTTCCTACGAATTTTATGAAACCAACAATGAAAACACTAGTCCATTTTCTGCAGAGACACAATAGTCAATCTTAGCATCAACTCGACGATCATGAAGGCTCGACGGTAGACCGGTTTTATGGGAAAAGGAGGTAAAAGAATAAGAATATCAAATATTCCCGTACTTTATTTGCAACAACTAACTGTTCTCTATCGTACTGAGGCGCCGAAGTAAAGCAAAATGCCAATTTAAAATGTCTCCCATAGTCAGCCGAATCTTTCAGTCAAAACTACGAAAAAATCACCCTCTATTGGAAATGAAAAGTCTCTTTCAGGATAAAAAGAATTAAGATTCTTCTACTAAAAAGAAACGCCTTACAGTGACGAAGAAACACACCTCTTTCGCGTCTCCTAATTCGCTAACGAAAGTTCTGAGCGTCTCCAGACCTCTAAGTTTCGTTATTCGACCGCAAACGTACAGCTCTATGATGGTCATGAACTCTTTCGCAAACTTAGGGCTGAAACATGGAAACAAATAAATCCTAATAATCAGAAAAGTGCTAAACAGAGGTTCTTTCACTGTTTACAGTACGATTTTGAGAGATAAATCGTTGCGGAGAAAAAACGTCAGGTAGTCTCCTCACTTCTGTGGAGGATAAACTTCTTTGCATCTTTGCATTATCATTCTAAGTTCGTCGAGCCACGTGACAAAGTGTTGTGCTCCAACAATTGGAATTCGCTCAGCACATAAATCGACGAATCGCGAAAGTAGGGCATCCTCCTGAAAGAACTCCTCACTTAATCTGTCGACATTAATTGTAATACGAATATCTATTTCGATAAAAAAACCACCTGAAAATTCTTTCATTCTGGTCAGCTTTAATATTGTACCATCTGAAAGACCAATTTTTCATTCACATAATCCAACAGCCCATGCATGAACCGATTCGTTTCCTCGCATTCACCAACCATTAATGTCTTCAAACATTTTGTATGTGGGTTCGGCTGCAGCTTAAGTTTTCATTAACGATGTCATTGAACGTTACTAGAGTGGAATTTCCTTGAAATCCTGGAAGACCTGTGCTATGGCGTTACATATGGAGTAGAGGGAGCGAGATATTCCCAAACAAGTCTAAAACCAATTTCTCGGATTAGAATGTATAGGAAGATTGGTATTGGCCCAGGTTAGGGTTGAATAGATAGGGTCCACAGGATAATCTGCCAGAGTTGAATGACATTTGACATTAGAGGAATTCATACCAGTGGCCTTGTGGCCTAATGGATAAGGCGTCGGACTTCGGATCCGAAGATTGCAGGTTCGAGTCCTGCCAGGGTCGGTAGTTTTGCTGTCTAGAATTTACATTCTTAGAGCCATCTCTGTAACAGTCCAGGTCCTAAGAACTGCAAAAGTGCACCGGCAAAAGTGTGGCACATGGATTCAGCACAAGTGGTTAAGATTTTCAAAGAATTCGTATTCTTTCTGATGTCTGCTCACTAAATTTATTTCACAGGACAATGACCTATTGGAAAAAGTTTCGGAGTTAGAATTCCAATATTGTTACAATTTGGGCCAGAGTTCAATGATTTTGTCTTTAATCAATGCGACCACCGAAATAGTAGCTGCGCAACATAATTCGTTTCCCCTCTTCGACACGTAGTGCAACGAACAATGGAACGAGAGAAGAGCTCGGATCCAGAAAATATGATGTCACGATGAGTCACGTCATATAAAGTCATTATAAAAAAACTCACGATTAAGTTTACGCTGTAGTACCGGTTTAGAAAACACTCACCGCGTAGAAAACTGCAAGTCGAGGCTCAAATCCTAGCTTCTGGTACTGCACGTAGTTCGGAGATGAAGAAACTGAGTCCTTGCATTCCTTTACCCATTCAGATCGAATCTACATGTATTAAAGAAGTTATAAATGACAAACAGCGTCAAGTATGGTCTCTCACTTTAACAACAGGCAAATTCGGTTCCGGTGTGAACCGATAATCAGTTTTCACCTCTTTATCTCGCATCGATGTAGTTCGCCTGAAAACCACATGGTACACCTAAGATGAGAAACATTTAACCAAAGTAGTCATGAATTACAGCATGATTTTCTACGGCTATTAAAGTGAATTGTTTAACATCAGTAGCAAATTTGATAGAAAAAAAAACCTGAAATTTCATTAGAACTACTACTCCACGTAGAACGTTTAATTTTCAACCTAAATATCCTAGGACACTTGAATGACACAGTAGAAACATAGCCGTTCCTAAAGAAATGTCTGTTCTTTCTAAGTGGCCTTTGATTTAGTAAATTGGTGGTGCGTCTCCCTGCTGACAATCTTAACTCTATTATAATTTCCCATTTCCAACATCATTTGAGATTTCTAAAGCTGAACGGAAATTTGTTCTCCTGACCAAGTTTTGGTGGTGTTGGGAATACTCCGAACTTCTTTATTCAAGGCCTAAGACGCATTCTGCACAGAGTTCGAGTTTTTCTACAATTATCTTGCGTTCTTTCCCGTAAGTCATTTTGCATTACAGATAAAGGATTCCATTGAAAGAAACGGCTATTCGTTTCATCCAAACCGAGTCACATCACCTACCCCTGCTGGTCGAACATCCTCGTCTCATTAATAACCGTACCACCGCTTGAAATCACACCGTAGTGTCGATCAATTTCGAAATTGATAGCCGTGTGGAGATGTCGAAAACTGTTAATGTTTTTCACCTTAACAATCAAGATCTTCGAAAGTAAATTTTTCAATGAGTTTTAAAGTTTCAAACAAATTTTAAATAATGGAATTCTTCAGAATTATTTAAGCGTGAGACATCCTAATAGTGCAACTTTAAAAATTTTTATATGGTTACGATTTCTTATCAGAAAAATCAAATATTCTGAAAGAAGAAAAGATTATTTGACGTTCCATAGTTCCTACACCTATCAGAAAACATGTAAAATTAGGGAAAACAAGACCAAGTTTAAAGACAATAAAACGATAAACGATGAAACTCCCGGCGTTGATCAATCCATGAGGGATGCACCATACATTCGACTTCATTATACATCGTTTAGAGGTGATTGAATGCATATCGGGCCTTTAGAATGACATGCGGTGGCCTACCGATGTATCAGCGTTACCAATTTGCCGATCCCGGAGGGATGGAAGGCTTGGTGAGCCGTGTGCGGGGAGATCGATCCCATGTATATTGCAGGGTGTCTCCTACCATTGGACTACACGCGCCACTAAGATAAGAAAAACCAAAAAATTAAATGGGATCAGTTAAAAATATGAAGCAGCAAGAAATCTGCGGGTTTGAAAGGACAATCTTCTTATAATCCTACAATGACTATTTTTTCCCTATAACCGAAAGTTAAAAATGAACAAAATAAATAACAAAGGGAAAATAGAAAATGAAATCGAGTCGAAGTAAACCTCAGTTCTGACTCCTGGTTCTCCTTGACACGATAACGAAATATTAGCGTCAACCCGTAGATGACCCTCTGGAATAAAAACACTCTTTTCGACCTTAACCTTTTATTTACTGCCTTTTTCTTTTTAATGGCAAGGTATGTTGCGAAATATAACTCATATATAATTCTGAGATATTTGCAAAAGTCCGGACCGCAGGTGTATGCGATAGGGAACGAACGCGCTATTGTTCTTACCGGGAGTAGCGCACTTCACCACCACACCTATATTTCGCAACATATCCTGCCATTAAAAAGAAAAAGGCAGTAAATAAAAGGGTTAAGATTATGATTATAACTAAGCCTCAGCTTAACTGGGTTCAATGCCGATTTGGGCTCCCCAGATCAATCCCGTTGACGGGTGATTGCTGTTGGCAAAAGATCAATAGAACTAGTTGAGAGACAGGCAATACGAATGACCCGGATGGTGTGGTGGTGAAGTGCGCTACTCCCCGGTAAGGACAATAGTGCGCGTTCGTTCCTCACCGCATACACCTGCGGTCCGGAGTCTTGCAAATATCTCAACATTATACACTCTTTTCGACAGTTCAATTAAAAAGATTCGAATTAAAGTAGAACTCAATAGTGAAATCCATATGCTAAGAAGGAAGCAGGTGAATTAACACTAAAAGCTATTTGGCCTATAAGAGATGGAAATGGTGCAAAGAATTTACCGAAAACTTTTTGTCGAACCTTAAACTCGACTTATAAGAGCTTTAATGGTGAAAAGAACGAACACGTGCGAGAACACTTTCCCATATCCTATTGATTTCAGCCCATATTCCAATGAAAAGCAAAAAAACAATAACACATATGTCACTAGATTCGTTTCAACAGCTGGTTTTATTCCTATTTAGTATCAGTTATACAGTTCTACTTTAACAGGTAGTTTCTAATAAATATGCTGCTTCCCAGCGATATCAATAACCCTGAAATTATCGCACTATGCAGTTCTCCTTTGCATATTTGATGATGCATGAGAAGCAGCCGAAGTTGTTGAACGAAGCACATTGCCTCTAGAGCAGTTGAGAAGTCCGGATCACTGACTACCTCTACCAACGGTGCTCCTGAAAGGCACATTAGTTTGTTTGCTCAAAAACAATTATGAAGAGTTATGTTGTTTTTAACAAAACTTGACATCCCCTAATGTGCGGATTCCACTACTTTTTGAATTCGATTCGGTCCCTCTTATCAGCCATCCATGAATGACTTCAAATTTGTGTGTTCCACTGCTGTATTACTACTTCATGTTGTCTTAATTAATGTCGTTGAATGCTGCTCAAATTGATTCTTCCTGTAGTAATAACACAGCCGTATCACGTTCTCAGATCTTTACCACAGGCAGACGCCACTTATTATAAATTAGAGGGACCTTGCTGATATGAAACGAATCTGGAAGCAATTTCTCGACTCTAGGATGATGGAAGACTTGGTGAGCTTGAGGCTGGATCGAACTACCACTATGCCACCACTTCCCATTATGAAACCTAACCATAGTAATCGGTTTTCGATGGCTCAAAAAAAACAGATAAGCAAGCGGTGACAAAATTCCTTGTCCTTTTTACACTCTACACCTGTGCTATAATTTGCAAGTACAAGTGTAGTGCCAGTAACCTTTAACCGTAACTAGTTACAGTGCATTCCTGAATAGTAATGCTGCTGAATTTCCCTGTAATTTGGCCTTCACTTTTATAAGACGTTGACTACGACTAATTGAGAGATAGATATTTTGATTTGCCGGTAATTTAATTGGAAGAGAAGACAACTGGTGGACGAGTAGGGACATTAGACAGGATCCCGAGAGAATCAAGACTACCTCTACAGCGACCTTCAAGAGTGCACATTTTACGTGGAACCACTCTTCAAAATCAAATCTTTAAAATATTTTTGGTAAAGAGTTCTTCAATTTTACCCGCACGATTGAGATCAATAAACGAGGACGAGCCACAATGAATCGTTTTGCCGCTGTCCTGTTCGAGTTGTAGCTGTTTAATACCAATCTAAAAAAAGATGCTAAACATACTCAAAATATGATGTATTTAACTTCAATGGTGCTGAGATATTTGCAAAACTCCGGACCGCAGGTGTCTGCGGTAGGGAACGAACGCGCTATTGTCCTTTCCGGGGAGTAACGCGTACACCACCACACAATGCGGGTCCTTCGTTTCGCCTATCTCTCAGCGGTTCGGAGTTTTGCTAATATCTCAGTATCATTGAAGTTATATTTCGCAATATACCCTGCCATTAAAAAAGAGTATGCAATAAATAATAAGTTAAAATAATGTATTTATTTTAAACTTTAATGAATAGGAAATTTGTCCAGCTAATTACATACACTTCTGTTCGTGAGATCCACACGACAGAATTCTCACGACGAACTTAAAAGTTCTTAATCGGCATTGTTTGCCAGCACCACTTATTGTGGAAAAACTCGGCATACGACATGGCGAAAGCCACTTTCGATGGAAAGCACTGCCGCAAACAGTGATGTTTCCAATTTGTGCCACGTGAAACTCATAGCATTAAAGGAAATGCCAAAGTAATAAGAGCTGTAAAAAGCTCTCGGCGCGTTGATCTATCCTTGAGGGATGCGCCATGCATTCGACTTCATTAAGCTTCGTTGGAGGTGATTGAATGCATATCTCGCCTTTACAATAACTCGCGGTGACCAAGCGATGTATCGAGCCAGTGCTGCTATCCTCCCAGACAAGTCTGGTACCAGTTTGCCGACCGCGGAGTGATGGAAGGCTTGCTGAGCCAGGGGCGTGGGGATCGATCCCTCGTGTGTGTTTCAGGACGCCTCCGACCACTGCGCCACACGCGCTAATGTAATAAACAGTGAATAGTCTCTTACCAACATGGTATCATGACTCTCATTATAATGGCAAGTTTTCATAAAATTCGAAAGAACTCACCTCTTTACTGTAGGGAGATATACCTTTGCCATAAACATGAAACATGAATCTACCATTTTTAGCCAGTGGATACTCGTTCTGCGTTATTTGATATCTGAACAAAGCGTAAAATTTACCAAACTCTATTACAGAGGTGTATTCTCTAATCTAGACTGCTAAGTGAAGGAAAAAAGGTTCAAAGGAAATTTGGTAACACCTCATAATATACTTCCGTTTGCAATGCTTATGAACGAACTCTCAGAGCAAAATAATTTGGTCCTCTGTCCGCGCAACAACTACGGTTCGTATGAATTCATGTAGACCCACTGTTCTACTTCTGTGTGTAATCCGGGTATTTTTCTATGTACTTTGCTAGTAACTCCAACGTTTCTGTTTCTTGTTGTTTTTTTTACGTATCCTCTAAATTCTTCATTGTATAGTTCCATGATCTAGGAACATTTCGAATTCGTGTATGTGGCGAAAAAATTCGTCCACTAAAGTATTCAAATATTTCGCATGTTTTTTCGGCTGCTGCTTGAGGATTTTGTCTTCTTATGAATGTCCTAGAATGCTGGTCGATTCGGTTCTCATTGCAATCTTGAATATAAGCTAGATAACGAATTCTCACGCAGATTTGAGAAGAGCGCTGAGGAAGAGGTCGAACTAGCTCATTCGATTCCTCTAATCGATGGCATCACAAACCACTGCGCTACTTACCTCCCTACCTCACATCCACTTTACAAAAAGACACTTACCCAGCTGGCATGTCAGCATAGAAGTAGTGTTTTCTGTCGAATCGGAAATACGGCGAAATTTCACAATTCAGAAGTGTCGCCATGCGAAGCGCATGCTAAAACAAACATAATGCCATATTCATTGCACAAATTGCTCATTGCGAGTGCAAAAGTAGACTGAAATCCACTTTTATAATTAATTACAAACAGTTTTGCAGTTTTAACTTTTTTAAAGTTTTACAGTTACTTTTAGTTTAACAGGTTTAAAGCCACCATACTTCTTATTCCTTCAATAAAACCGAAACATTTAAACACCGTCCTAACTTAACAGCTAAGAGCACCCTTTCTACTCTGCACAAAACACTAAATACCTTCGACAGGAAAGTAAAAGAGTGGAGTCCAATCTAAGCAAGTATCACCACTACAATTAAATTTAGAAAAGAAAAAAAGTGGACTATCCGTTTCTCCTAACCATAACACAGGCTCTGTTGAGAACAGGCAGAGTTCCTGGAGTTGCCATGTCAAAGGCAGCTACCTGGCTATTTGGGGCGGCATCATCTGCACACGGTGCTCTGGAGAACAACTTACTTTTCGTGCTTAGTTGCACATGAACCTAAAATTTCGCTAATATTCGAAATTTCAAAACATATCTAGGTCCTAAAAACTTAAAAATAAAACAAATAGGCTCCATGTCTAATCTGGGACAGACTGGAAAGCTATTCGTGAGCATATCCATCCCTCACGTTCACAACTCAGCAAGCTATACGTGAGTATCAAACAGCTAAGCGCAGTAAAACAAACAGGCCTCATTCCCATGACGCCGAAAGAGCTCCTGATGCGGCAGCGTTGGGTAGGAAGAGTACAGTGAGGCTGCTAAGATCTCAGGGCAATTCTAATCTGCTTAACCGCAAAGAAATAAGGTGGAAATCTGTAGCTACAATGCACGGACACTTGCATGCAAGTCCTCGATAGAAGACTTGCTATTGCAAGCAAGAAAGATAACGTACAACGTCATCGGCTTGGCCGAGACGAGACGACACCATCCATTCAATGCCGTCTGTGACACCGGAAAAAAACTGTTCCTCGGAACATGCGACAGTAGAGGAGTCGGCGGCGTCGGCGTTCTCTCCTCCAACCAACAAATAAGCTCCATGTCCACTCTGGGAGAGCCTGGCAAGCTACCTTTACGATTAAAAGATGTGGATCAATACCGGCTTTGACAATCTTCGTCGTTTACGCCCGGCATTAAACTATGACGAAGAAGAAGTCGAAGCGTGCTATACGGACTTGGAGATGTTCTGCACAGAAGACCACGCATTCTTCAAGGTCATCATTGCAGATTTCAACGTCAAGATTGGACCAAGAAGAACGTGTGAAGAACATCATATTGGGACCCACGGATTGAAGTGGAATGAACAGGATGAGTGGCTCTCTGAGTTTATCATGACGACCAGAACAATTCATGGTAACTCGCAATTCTAAACGCCCCACCCTCAACGCTGGACGTGGGAATCTACCAGCGGAGCGTACCATAACGAAATAGGCCACATAATAGTAAACCGAAGGTTTTGCCCAACCGATGTCGCTGTTGTCCCGATATTCTATACAGGATCAGACCAACGCCACCGTCGTGCAAGACTCCATTGCTCGCAGAAAGGAGAAAAAACCGCTAAATTCAAAAAAGAAGTCCCAAAACCACTATAAACTGATACTTCAGCTCATTAGTCGGCTGTTGGGAAGATACCGTTGTCGATAACATCGACGAAGAATATGATCGGCTCATTCAACATCTTCACTTTAGCGACATGAAAGCTGAGAGTTCGAAAATTATCAAAAGGCGTCTGTCTCCAAAAACACTCGAGCTGATACGCTAGCGTAGAATCGCACCAGCTGCAGGCAACCGCCAACTCACGTCCGAAGTTCCAAAACAATGCAGACAGGCGATAGTAGAGGATCTTAAAGAGAGAAGAACAGCAGTAATGGTCGAAGCTGCAGAAGCTAGAAGAAGCATTCGCAAAGCCCATCGATGCTTTGCCAATTAGAAGACCAAGATGATTGCATTCCGCAACATTTTTTTCGAAATACTTGACTATTCAGAACTCGCCTCACCATTTCTTGGGACCATCGCTTTGTCATGAAATACTATGTAACACTCAACTAGCAGAATTCCGAATTTTCGGAAACAAAACGAGTGGAGATCTTATGTATTTGGCGCAGAACGCAGCTGTGGAATGTTTCGAGAACCTACCCTATCGTTTTCTAAATAGCTCACCTCAAGACCAATTACTGGCTGAAAGTTCTCTCTAGCTAAATGAGCGACTTCCGACAAGTTACGGCAATTGAGGAGAAGTGGCAGTCGTTGAAAACTGGTGTTCATCCGAAAATGAGTGAGAAGCTAGTTTAAAATGATGTTCTAACTGAAACTACTGCATGACAATGAAACTCTAGAAAGGAAATAATTCCTGCTGATCTTCACAATGTGATTGATATGAACACATTATTTTAGAACTCTCCTTTTATATTTCTATGAAGAAAGCTATTCCCGACTTCAACAAAACCAAAAACGTAACAAATATCTAATCAACAGAACGGACATGGGTACAGCATGAAAACAGATATCTTTGTGTCCAGATGGTATAAATCAACACTGGGAAATAACCACTGGAAGTTAACCAGAGCAGTCCCACAACAATTTACAAAACAGAACTAGTGAAGAACAAAGATGTCAAAATGGTACAATGACAGACAACCGATTAGTTTACGGTTAGGATGTTACTAATTGGTTCGAGTGTCAGGTCAGCATTTCTCACGACACGTCGTAGCGCTGGCTGCAGCTCACTTAATATTGTTTTCGCTGCGCCTTCCACTGACAACAAATAGTTCTGCAAGTACGCTTAATAGCACAACATATAATCATTAAACACGGAGACAATAAGGGCTTAGCATATCAACCAACCCTCGATTGATGTAAGCCTAGCACTACTACTAAAAAGCTATTACTATTAAACGTTATAATAGAAGAGGATAACACCTACATCAAATCCATCTTGTCCATCCTGGAAGTGAAAAGCATACACTAGAGCAAGCTCGGATGCAGAACGAACTGCCGAGTTGCTTTCTTTTGCACCATTCATCAAGTGAGGAACGACTACCTGGAAATTACACAACAATTACTACTAGAATACACAATTCTAAGGTTCTATAAATAACCATTTCCTCCAACTAAATCCAAGAAAAGGAGCAAAACTAACTTTCAATAGAGCATTTTCAAGTTGACAAGGGGCTGAACGCAAGATATGTCCGAGAACAACGGCGGCAACTCGGCGTACCTCCACGGACTGATGACTTAACGATCGCCCCATTGACGAAAGTAGTTCCCGATCAAAATTTGAACCTTCACTAAAAAACCAACATTTTCATACAAATTTCCGAAACTGACAATAAATTTTATTTTTCCGTTGTTATTCATGTAATCATTGTAAGAAGGAACCACGCCCTAGTTTAGAAAAAAGTAATCCATAGTTTGCAGTTTAAGCGAAACTGGTCGGAGTTCAAAATTTAAAAGTTTCATTATCAATAGAATTCTCAAGTTATACATCAAAGCACTATAACTAATCTACCGGCTAGTTTGGTGTCTTAAACATCTCCTTCCTCAGGATGCATAGTGTGTCCACATGTTAGAAAAAAAGCCACTACAAAGACCAAGAACCCACCTGATTAGAATATATGCAGCTGCGCGGAGAGCTGCACAAGCTACAGTAGCTTCGGAAGTAAATGCAGCTAAAAGAGCACCTCGACATTCGCTTTGCGCTTCCGACCAAACCAGTGACGCATCTGTCTGCAAAGAAAAGAAGAAGTTTTCCATAAAATGACTACGTATGTGAAAATGCCCACTTGTATCTTAAGCAGTCTTTGTTTCAGTTTATAAAATCAAACGCCCAAAAAATATCAGGCTTGACTCACCATATGGCAAACCTTACATTACAAAAGAAAAACGGTTCTCCTAATGAAGTAAATCGTACTGTTTTCTCAGTATTTCACCATATTTTACACCAAACTCGTAGGACAGTAACTGGTGCTTTCATACATTAGAAGAACACCACATAAAGAACCACAGAATATATAACTATAAAAATATATAAGAACAGAATATGAATAAAAATGTCGGTGCCACTGTGTATACAACACATATTTTGGAAGCTAAGTACAAATTTTTGAATATGAAAGGGCGCTAAATTGTATCCATAGAGATACTACTTTACGAAATGGGTGGCAATAGAGAACGCAATGAGCAACGATAACCCGTATGAATCCACCAACGTTCTACAGAAAAGAGTCATTCATCACCGCTTGGTTTCAAACGTAACTCTTCAAAGGTAAACGCATTTCCAAAAAATTTGGTAGCAAAATATCCGATTATACGACTTGCGTTATTTTCACCCCATCATAAAAGCACAAGTCAGCAACATATTGGATAGCACTGTCGCGCTTCCCAATTGTAAGAGATTAATAAAAACATAAAGAATACTAACCTTACACATTTGTAGGAGAGCAATCGCCATCGCATGACGAACACGCGGTTTTGAGCAGGTTTCCACATCTAAATTTCAAAAATGACCGAATTCACTTCAACTGCTCGCTGCAAATATATTTACTTTATTATTATTACTTTATTATTATAAATATTTACTTCTGATTGCTAATGCATTCGTTACAATACATAGTTTTGCGTTCTAATTTCGCAGCACTGCGAATTGAAATAAAGCCATTTCGGCCAAGTTTTCTTCTCAAAAAGTTGAAGCATCTTTTCCCGGCACTCTTTATAAATAATTCGCCGTATAAATTTACTTTTCAAAAGTTATTAGGAACGATCAAAAAGAAGGATAAGTAGAAGGTCAAGATAATAAAAAATATTTTTATGCCCGAATTAGGACGTAGGTGGTAATAACGAGGCAAGATAATCGAAAGTTGCGCCTTACAGCTACAGGGTCACCAACAGCAATAAGCGTGGAATGGAAAACAACGCTGGTTGAATCAGCAAAGCGTACAAATATTTATGAATTATTCATGACTGATACCTGCGATCTAAATGTGAAAGCGACAAAAAATAAGAAAAGGGATGGATCAGCAGCGGGAAGCGGGAACTCTTGAAGAAATGAAAAGATCAATCGATCTCTGTCCTCAGATGGAAAGTGTAAGACCGCCACAGTTTACGGATCAATAGAGTTTAGTCCTTGGATATTATACGTCTTCCTCTTGAGTCTCAAATTACACCGGTTGGACCGGAGAAAAGCGTGTATCCACGAATCGTCATGCCGCTTAGAGGAAGAATTGCATTCAACTCGCGTATTCAACAAGACAAGTATACGTGTTTAGTGAATCCAAGAAGGATCTGCAGTAATAGCTAATGCGCGGGAAAATACAACAAATAAGGGCAATTTGTGCCTGCCAATAGTTTAACGTGTCTACATCCTCGGTTGCCCAAGGTCTTGGAGGATACTGAACTAATACAATGGTTGCTGTAAGGCATTAACAAGAACCCAGGACTCCAAATCTGCATGAAGATATGCCAAGCAAGTTACTTTTATACTCAGCCATTTTAACAAATACTTCTGCTTAAATTGCTTCAATAATAACCACAAAAGCGTAAATTGTAGAGTTTACAGATTCAAGCATAAATAGTGCGCTTGGAGTGTTGAATACGAGACTTTAGAAAATAAAATAAATTCGATTGACCTTCCAAAAGTTGGCAACCTATGACATTCTCAAAGATACACATCTTCCTCAGTAGTAACAATCTCCTCTCAGTGGGAACAAACTCGATGGGAAAACTAAAGTGCAAAAATAGCTTTTCCAGGTCGCTCTCACATATGATGGGACAAACCATTGACCGAACAAAAAGTATAGCAAGAAAAACCGCGCAGGAAAAGAAAACATCGGAAAGAAATAGCATAAATCAATTCAAAACGGTGAACCCTCATCCACGTACAAGTCAAAGTTAACTGGTTACGAATCCTTTAGCAAGGTAATTTAGTAAAGATATCCCATAAAAATTCTGTTGCGAAATGTTGCATGGATTTCTCAAAAAGTTTTTTCCTAAATCGTTGTCTTTTACCCGAGGATATTTGAACTGTGCTGGGCACCGACATTAATCAAAATTATGATTTTATGCTTCTATAAGAGAAGAAAAGGGTAATCCAATGCAAATGATCTCATTTACCCAAACAAAACAACTTCGAAAATGGACCGACTTCACTCGAGACCTTACTTTAAACAAATTTGTAACTCATGCCACATTCAGCATTTTCAAAACCACTTTAGTAATTTAATGCCAACTCACCACGGAAGATATTTTTCGAGCGGAATTCTTTCGTTCGAACGGCCAGTTCACCGTACAGTGCTCCACTGCATATACACAATGACGTTTCAAGCTCTGTGGGAGTGTCCAAAGACATCTGCAAAAGTTAATAGCTTCTTAATCAAAAATGTTAGTCATTATTAAAACAAAAATTCACCATATACTGCAATTGGCACACGCGGTATCCCTCTTGTATCGCAGCGTCTGAAAGAGGGACATTGAGTTCTGCCAAAAGTGCTCGAGCAGCAACGAATGTTGTTTCTCTGAAATGATATATAATATCACACAAATGCAAGAAACTCTTAGTTCTAACATAGCACTGATAAATTGAGGACAATGCTTTGCAATAATTCCTATCATTTTTTCTTTCAAAAATTAAAACTATTCATAAAAAGTCACTTGCAACATTTGCATAATTTAATCAAATTAATCACACAGTAGGTAGAACAAGCACTAGTAAAAACACTAGCACTCTCATTGCCTAATGGAGGTTTCTAGTAGGATCTTTCTTGCAGATTTTGAAAGATGTAGAGTAGCATTACTTTGGTAAGACATTTCTTTACTATTCTCGGTAAGTGCGCACCCAGAGTACCCATGAATAGCTGGCCGCTTCCACCGCAGAAAACATACTGAGGGGTAGCCTCTACGCTTCCGAAATGTAGGTGGGGTCTACGAGTGGAAGACGATATCGAGCTACATTCTTATCTGATTGAAGGATTTTAACCGAAACTGTTTGAAGAACAAAACCTGCATAAACGTAAGTACACCCATGTATGTTTGTGCACACCTGACTACGTAAATATGAAAGGTAATTGTCAACACGGTAGCAACGTAATGCAATAATATGACTATATTGTACACTGAAAATCCGATGAATTTGCAAAATTTTCAAAAACTTGCTCAAATTCTTGCAAAATTTCGTTTCCAATCGTTACACTTACTCGAGTGCGCCTTAGCAAATCCATAAAAACAAGGATAAAACCTTCTCGCTTCACTTCTACTCCTAGTTACGCCACCCTATCATCTAACCCCTTCTTTTTCTACATTTGTTATTTTTTATTTGAATAAAAAACAAAAACTAAGAGAATTTTATCTTGTTTTATACGACCCATCTTCAAACTCCTCGGATACATCATCCACGAACGTCTTCCAACTTTTTGCATGTGGCTTCCGCTGCTGCTTCAGGATTTTCATTTCATCTCGAATGTCGCAGAATGCTGGCGGAGTCGGTTCTCACTGGAGTCCTAAGCCTGGTTGGAGCGTTCCCAACTGGTCTTCAGGGTGAGTTATTCCCAGAGAAGTTCGTCAGCAATTTCTCGACCCCGGAGGGATGAGAGGCTTGGTGAACCTGGGCGGGATTGAACCAGCACTGTCCTCGTGATGATCGGCACCACTATCCCTGCTGTCCGCCCCTTTCTCTATATTTATTGCAATAAATTAAGTGGAAGTAAAACCTGCTATAGAATACTTACAACAGTGACTGATCCTGACTGTGAGCGAGTAGTTTTAATAATTCGTTAACCAGTGGTTCAGGGTTCGTATGAATACGAATTAAACGAGCAAGAGCACCTTAATATAGTTCATGTCACCAAATAAAACAATCAAAGTTAAAACCATGAAAACAAGATAAATTCACCGCCGGCAGTTAGTCGCAATGTGCGCGATGACGGCTCTTGTAATGATTTAAGGAAGGTTGCTTGCAACTGAGGTTGAAACGGACGAAGTAACACCGTGACCTTAGAAAAAGTTGGTATTTGTTACGATCTTCTCAACAAAAGGTGTTGCAAAAAAAAACACATTTCATGAAAGCGAATTTTCAGACCAGAAAAATATAAAACACACTCGATTGAGATGAAAAATCATTGCTATAAAGAACTACTACCTGAGTTATGATAGAATGTAATCATTAAAAAAGCAAGAAAGGCAGCTCAAAAAAGTATTGCACTTATTTTTTCGTTTTGACAGTATATTAAAAAACTACAAAAGGAATGGTACACAAAAAAGAAACAGGTTTACATTAATAATATCTAAAATTCCACCTTGTCGAGTAGTTGACTCAGCGTCCCGAGTACCGCTAATTTTACAGTTGGAGGATACCGATCTCCTAGTACTCGAACCAACGGACCAGTGATATTGATCACATGCGGTTTTAGTGAGTTTGGATCAGAAACGGAAACCACTTGACCGAGAGCTTCACCAGCTAATGCTTTCAGCTCAGGAAGACCTAAAAGATACGGACTTTCGCCCGCTAAAAGACAGACATAACCTATACGCTTGCCATAGATATATGAAAGTTTACTCCACCTTGTAGAATAGCTTCTCTTAACATAGGAAACAGCGGAAGCAATGCTTTGGGATGTGCGAAACCAGGTATTACTCGACCTTTCGATTGAGCAATTGTGAAGTTCAACGCTTTCTTCATTATTGGAATGGCCCCCTAAAAGCAGGAAGACGAATTATTAGAATCAAAACACTGCTATGGTATTAACAGGCTATTACCACTTTGTTAGAAAACTTTGAAATATCTTTCAACCAGCAACTTTGCCCTTCCACAGATGAAAATATTAAAATTCTTTTCAAAAGTGAACCTGCATCTCCTTCTGATCCAGTGCATGAGCAATACCAATGGCTGCATTAATAGCATGGTCGACAATCTGTGGATTCGGTGACGAATACAAGTGTAGTAGCCCAGGAAGCAAATCATCAATCAAATGATTAAGAGACACCTTACAAGAAAGCAGTTTTGAAAATAACATTGAAAACAGACAAAAAACAAGCAGCCAATCTTACTCCACTTTTGTCGACAAATGCATGAAGGAGTACAATAGAAGGTACGTTCCCTTTACTGGCATGTTTGAGAAGATAATCAACCAAAACAGGAACACCCTCATCATCAGTCACAGCTATTACTACTTTTTCACAGCTATCGATCATCTGAAAACTGGATCTACCATATCAATACTTTATTGATAAAAATATTGGTACAATCGATAACAACAGCAGACCAAATTTTAGGTTAGGGACGCAAGAAGCAGGCCTCCTAAAAAATTACTGTATTCAACATTATTACAACTATCAAATCGTGCATCATTGGAACCCTAGGACACCTGGTGGAAACACAGCCGTCACACACCAGAAACAGGAACTGCTTAACGATTTGGAAAGCTGTGCAAAATGCTTTTCGGGAATCAACAGACAGAAGTACTGCCTGTCTAGTTAAATAAGAAACACACTGGCGCACATATAATTCCTCGAAAACGTGCGATTTAAAGCATCAAAGATAGGTGCTCTTCTGCTTATCAGTAACGTCTACTTAACATACCGGATCGTACTGGTCATTAGTTTGACAAGCAGACAGGAGAGCATCCAAAACTCTTGGAAGTTGACGAGATAATGTACTACCTACAACGACAATATAAGATGCACTACACCATGGAAATAACGAATTTGTTCGTCAAAATCGAGAGTTTCGAACATCATACCAGCAACCGAAGCCAAACTACAAAGGGCATGAACATTGATAGGAGGTCGAGTAAGACGTGGTAACAAATACGGTAACATTTGTCTAAAACATTACTCTTCTCGAAATGGAATATAAAAATCGCTGCAGCTTTCGATAACAACAACAATAAACAAGAAATAAACCTGCTGTTCTGCTTCATAATCTCACATAACCCAGCGAGCACGTCTTCTTTCTCAGGAGTTAACTTCTCAAGAAGTGGCGCAATTATTTCATCCAAAGCCTCGATTCCGATCATCTGTGAGAAATAAACTTCAGTAAGAAGGTTTAACATTCAAAATTTGCAAATTTTTTTAAAAAATAATAAAAGACGATGTACCACATGCTAGAATGCTTAAGTGATATTTCTAACTGATCTTCGAGAAAGGAAGGATACAAGCCTTTGTATCTAGTTTTCCAAAATTGTAAAAAAAATTTGCAGAAATTTAGTGCTTTCCAAATCCTAAAGCAGATAATAAATCATTTGTTTTTGCTAACATGGTATAAGACGGAGAAGGTATCAGCAGCGGCTGATCGAACAGCTGGTGATGAATCGCAAATACAGTTACGTACAGGAGACACCAGATTCTCAAGGTAATGACTAAGTACATCCTGAAATAAAAGCTAACGATAATTTTGATATATGATAAAATACCTAAAATAGTTGTATCAAATATGGAAAAAGAGGATAAAGCTCTCGGCCTTGATCAATTCCTGAATGAAGCGCCATGCATTCAACTTCATTAAGCACCACTGGAGGTGACTGAATGGCCTATATAATGAAACGCTGTGGTGTACCGACGTGTCAAGTCAGTGCTGCTATCCTCCCAGGCAAGTCTGGTACCCATTTGCCGATACCGGAGGGATAGAGGACTTGATGAGCCTGGAGTGCGAGGGATCGATCTCTTGTGTATTCCACGGCATCTCCGTCGACTGCTCTACATACGCCCCGTATTGGATCAAATAGAGAACCAAAAGGACGGAGTTATTTACAAAGAAAATACTATACCTTGCTAATATTGTCCATCACTTCATGTAAAGCAATCGCAACTCCAACGCGTTTCTCAAGATTGTCTGACTTCTGGTTCACTTCCAAAATTGGTAGAATCTAAACGAAATTTAGCACTGAATGCACGTTTAGCACTCAGTATAAAAGAATTAGGACCATATAAAAAAGAAACGCACTTCATTGAGAATTTTATCACCCATTTTACGCACGAGTTCTCCTAAGCATCTAGCACCCATTTGCTGACGATCCTCACATGTTGACGCTAACGAATCGACAATCTAAACACACAGCTATTCAGATAGAGAACGACATAAGTTGAAGAGCACTAAATCAAATCGTTAAAATCAGTGATCCAAAGTGTCCAGGACACTGTCAATGTTAGGTATAATTTTAGGTAGCATGCCTGAAAGTGTTAAGTATAATTTTAGGTAGTATGTATTTAAAGACGTTTTAGAAAACTTGATGCAGTCAGCCTATAAGGTATTCACAGTTCCTAAAGATATTAGATGTCTTGCTGACCATTTCAAATAGGTTCTTCATAATCTCTTTAAGAGTTCGAGGAGTGTTTGCCACTACAATTTTCCACACATGGCCAGCTGCCTGACGAACCACCAAAGCGACGTCTGACCTGGATAGGAAAGTAACGACTGGTCTGAGCTCTAATTAAACGATATTTCAATCGAACCTTGCCAGATAGAGCCCAGCTAAAACGTGGTCTCTACACTGCTGCCCAAGCGCTCGGACAATACTCTTTCCAGCGTGCTCAATACCCATAGTATCATCTTCGTTCGCGGTTGACGAAGTGCTCTTCCCAGATACACCTGAATGATAATTTTATGGCTTCTACCGTGAACTATTCAGTTGTTCACTTAACTGATGATAAGATTAATTCAAACAAGATGGCTCTCCTCAAAGTTAATCAAAAGCGTTTATTAAAATTTAGCCAGGTACAAACACTTCTCGTTTTAAAGAAACTAACAAATAATTTTCAAAGAGAGGTCCCCATAATTATGACATAGACATAAAAGCTTACCTTAAACCTTGAAAACAGGACAAATTTGCATTGAAGAATCACCTGAGATATTAAAGAGAAAGTCTCCAATAAGCTGAACGGATGCTTGCCGAATTCTCCAGTTTTCATCATGAAGAGCACTCTGTAACTGTGGAAGAAAGATGCGACGAGCATGCGAACAATATTGAGCAATCAACCGCTGACCAGCTTTTAGAGCAGAAGCGCGAACGTATCTGCAATGCCAACATCGCTTAAATTGTTTGTCGAAGTCATTTCTACCAACATGTTTATGACCTAAGTGGGGAACAAGACAATTGCAGTACGACAAAATATACAACGGTAGTTCTTTGCACATCACAAAATTTAATTCATCCCATAGAAAAAGGTTCTGTGTACTGGACTGAAAGGCTCTATGAAATCAGGAAAACGCACTCGTTTTCATCTGCAAGAGCTTTAAGAATGGGTGGAACAATTTGTGATACATAAGGAAGAAATTTCTCGCCGAATACCATCGGAAGATATATATACATTAAGATGTAGCCGTCTCTCGTCTCCGCACTTACCTAAAAACATTTCGAATCCCTTACCTTTATGCTACTTGTCAAAACCAGCACAACAATAGCATAACAAAGTAGAGCAAACGGTTACTCAAAGAAATAATTAAAAATGTCAATGTGAAAATCACCTCGGCGCTTTCAGTTGCAGCAATAATTTCCGGCATCACAAATTCGAGTTGCTCGGCACCAATAGCAGCCAATACTTCGCAAAGACCTTGCGCAGCTCCAGACCGGTCAACCGTTGAGTTCGGAGAGATCTATGCAATATTCAAAACTATTCTGACATCATAGTTCTTATTACCGAGGTGACACTAGGATGGTATAAAAGTTTCTTTTCAGCTAAGGTTTCGACTCCTTCGCCTTCCTCAAAACAACGCTGATCCGAGTCGATGGTTCACAATTGGTCGGTGTCACGATATTGATACTGATATTTTAAGATAATGACTACCACGCTACGTGACAGCGAAAGAACTACCGACTGCTACAGCAGCAATGCTCACACAAAACAGATCATATTGGAAGCGGGAACCGATTAATATCCCTCCTGTATAGTGGTGCTTCCTCCACTGTATTTGACGTGAAGCGACTACGAACGCTCACATCACGGTGACGACCAGCTGTAGAGCATCCAACCGGGTAAACCCAGTTTTCACGAAGACGAAAGAGCTGAAATGTTGGCAGAATAAATGTTTTTATACCAGCCTCGTGTCAGAACAACCGCACAGAGATTTATTGATCACCGTCACCGACGTCTAACGAAAGCGAAAGTCGATTCCCAAGAAATCCAGACACTGTTTATAGAATATATTTTAAAGAATTCCTCGTTAGTCCACTTCGTATTTCGTGATGGTAGTATTCAGTTCGAAAAGCCACTTAGACTAAACTGTAAGGTTGAAGAAAATCCAATAATGACAATTGTCTTTGAGAAGATAGAAAGGATCCTTATTCCGAATAACTGCAACTAAGCCACAAGTCCGCAGATATCAGTAAAGGAGAAAATTCGATCGGCAACCTTCCCAGTGGTTACATTGGTAAACTTGACAGCATATGGTATTGGATCCCAATAGTGTGAAGATCGAGTTTGTTGGGTACAACAGCGTTATTAGAATCCCTCTACTTTGTTTCGAAACAATTAGCAATAAAGTAATAAAATCATCAACCCTGGTAACCGTTAACGCGGTTAAAAGCAGAGGAAATACCTGAATACCTGCAACTAATAACTAAACAAATTCACTAACATTGAGGACAAACGTTATTTCGTGTACCAGGTACCGCCACATGCTCACCTATGGAGACTAAATGGGACTCACTATTAACTACTAAATAAACAAGCACAGTACCAGCTTCTCTTTCAACCATGGAACAATACTTTCCCGAAGCTTCTCGCTTGTTACGCCTGTAGATTTAGCAACTATGGCTCCAAGTGCGCGGGCCGCCACAGTTCGTATTTCCGGTACAGGATCCAGTAGTGATTTTTTAAGGCCTGGAACCAAGTCGCACATGTACGGCTCCATATCCTAAAGTTCGCTACCATATTAATATTTTAAATTTTAAACATATTAAACATATTAACATATTAAAAAGACTCTAAAAGCCAGGAAATACACGTATACAAACACAGATATTACCTTGTGCTCTGTGAGAGTGTAGATATTGGCGATGATCTGCGAAGCGACCTTACGTGTTTCACTGTTTCTGTCTTCGAAAGCACGTCTGACAATCGGCATAATAAGTGCAAGTGATGGAGCATCTATATAATGAATAAACTTCGTATTGAGAACAGCCTGAAATCAAAAGACTTGTATTTTAATTTAACCAGTAAGCCGACCATTTACACGTAAGGCCACATGCACACAAAGATAGACAATATAGCACAACCTACTATTATGAGGACATAACTGAAAAGAAAATTACGTGGACTTAAGTGTATGAATGCAAAAAATAAATTACTTGTAAAGCGTAGTTGGTCTTGTTGGCCGGATCCAAAAGACCTGCTATCAACTGATTGGAAACGCCCAGTATTTCAGGATTTCTAATAACACTAGCAATTTGTCTTAAAGCTTTTTCACCACTTCGTTGAACCTAAACAGTACTCGCAAAAATTGATAACCAACGAAAAAATAACATCATAAGTTCATCAACAAAATATTTACTCTTCCCTTAAGAAGGACCTAAAAGAATTCCATTCCTTATAGCAAAGCTTTTAAATCAGGTTAATTTCCACTTTTTAGATACGTATCTATAACTATTCCTTTGCAGTTTTCATCAAGAACCCATTTCAACATGGGTCAAAACCGTTCCTTAAGCCACCTCTTCAAAAACAAGTTTCATACAAAGAACTGCATGTTTTCAAATTTGAGGTTACAATATAGGAGAATCCTGTGGAGAGTTCTTTGCCCTTCACTGTTTCATTCAATCTCTCACAAAAAAAAAATTGCGGAAAGTGTTAAATATGATGCTCTCAACTTCACTTCTCGATGTGAAGCCTGAACGATTAAGAAATGACTATTATTTCGACTAACTTTAACACTCTCGCAATGATATGGATATATGACTCACATGGTGAGAAAACTGCCGAAAACAGTGCCAAGGCAGTGCATCTGAGCTAATTCTGAACTTTATCCAATAAAAAAGTAGGACATGCATATCTTTGCCAACAAAATCCAGTTTTCTTATTTCATCTAGACGGAACTAAGATTTTACGAAATTTCGGGGAAACTCAACTATACTAAAGATAGGCAAAGTATTAGCAGCGGTCGGAAAACTTGAACGGTCGCAAATTTGTTGAAGGGAATTGTCACTCAAATAAGTTAAATACGTCACCGCAAAAAAGTCGTCTATATAAAAGTCAAGTGAAATTGTTTGCTTCATTATTTAATTCAAGACCAACAGTCAAAACTCAAAGATAGAACCCTTGCTCAAAGAATATCTCGGTATATTTTTTCTCACAAATTATGTCCCACGACTTTTGAGGCACTGACCAGACTATAGCCACAGAGTTTTATCGTTAATAAATGAATCAGTTCCACGAGAAAATAATAGACCCGCCTACTAAATGGAAAATGATGATCCTGTAACAAAACAATGCTACAACTCACATCGGGTGATACTTGAAAACCTTAAGTGCAAAGTTTTTTACTACCTTAATATATTATTAAGCCATCCAACAGCTTACTGCCTCATCGTTGCTGGAAGGTGTTCCTGGGTGTCGAGATGCGACGTACAGCGAGAGGATTCATCCGCCCAGCAGGGCCTCCCAAGTTGAGGAGTCGAGCGTTTCCATCCGAAAGTCCAACTAAGAGTAAACCAGTAGCAGGATACACCACTGTACTGGTATCAAACTAGCTGTATGTTAGCAAATCTTCCTCTGATCCACAAAGGCGGTGACTACACGTGGTGGTGACGACCTCTGGCAGACTTTGGCTAGGATGACCTCAGGACTAGAGGGAATCACCACCTAAACCAGCAAAAGTGGAGATTATGCTGGAGACCTCACAACCAGTGAAGAAGAGTCATCCAAGTATCCAAGTAAGTATTATTAAGTCATCAGGCCACCACTATTTCCGGCCTCCGTCGGCAAAATGTTGAAGAACTTTAGCGAAATCAAAATAGCTGCTTTTGGTCTCCTCGATTCTATGGTCAGCAGTTTAAATGGAAAACAAGCAGCTGTAGATACATTATCAATCAGTCCTCATAAGATAGTAATATGGCCTCTCGCCATTTCCTTTTTTTCACTTCCGATCAATATTACAAATGTATAAATAATTACGTCGGAAATACTTTCGTTACTAAATTTTCTATCTTGATATCTTTAAAAAACGAGACATAAGCAATTGCTTATGATCAAAGTTTGACCAAACAATAACCTTGGACGATGAATCAGCGAGAACTTCTATAAGCTTAGGAACTATGTTAGGCAAGCAAGCTGACAGCTGCCGAGGAGCACAGAACGCCATAGACCCAAGCAGCTCTACCTATAAAAAATGCCTGTCATATTACACGTGGAACCGAACAATCTATATTCCATATCCGTTTCTCACTGCTGCACATTTTGTTCGCCAAGATTCATCATCAAGAGCAGTCAACAGCGATGGAAGCACAAGTTTTGTACCATGAGGAGACATTGACGACATCATTGCTACAGCAGTATCCTGCAATCCATACATCGTTTTAGTAAATCTTACCTTAGATATAGTTAGTAATTAGTAGGAAACCTCCCAACGGTTTATCACCTCATTGTGGCCGGGAGGTGTTCCTGGGTATCGGGCTGCGATGTACATTGGAGGAATTCATCCAATTGGAAGTCTCCCAAGCTGGGAAGGAGTCCGGAGTTTCCATTAGGAAGCCTAGCTAAGAGTAGACCAATACCATAAACCGCCACCGTCATGGTATCAAAGTCGCATGGTGGCAAATCTCCCTCTGGTCCACAACGGCTGTGACTGCCTGTGGTGGTGAAGACCTAGGGAAGACTTCGGCCAGGCTGACCTCGGGATTCCAGGGAACCACGATAGCTTAACCAGCAAGTCTCCGAAAAATGGAGATTATGCTGGCGCCCGCACAACCAGTGAGGACGGGCCATTCAAGTATCAAGTAAGCACCAAGTAGAAAGAAAAAGACGATGGCATTGTTAGGCCACTAAACTGGAAGAAAAAGATAAAACTTGGTCGAACTAAATCAAATGGATGAAGAAATCGAAGATGTTTACATTAGCAAACAAACCTCAGCAGCTTTCCTTACATTCTCATCATTATCGCCAAAGCAAAGAAGAAGGGACGCTAGAAACTGAATCATGTAGGGTTCGAAAAGTTTACCCACCGTGCTAAATATATTCTGTTATAACGGAAAAGAAATCTAGTTCTTTAAAACAACGAATCACGAACCTGCAAAGGATTTCAAGTGCTAGAAGACCACCTTCTCGATGCTTGACGTTCTTCTTGTCCAGAAGAGCCTTATGTACAGACGGTAGTAGCTCAAATTCCTGAAAATGCTCTAGTTTTGCGTGGAACTGATGTTTTAGTAAGTACACGAATGTGAAATAAACCTTGAGTGAAGCTACTCCCATCCCCTTGATAATGCCAGCAATTCCATAAGCAGCTCCGCGACGTTCACCGTAAGAATCCGCTTCATACAAGAGCCATTGTAACTTTTGCATAACAGTTTTTACTGTGTCTTGAATAGCAGGTACCAGGAAAGCAAGACATCTTGAAACTGATTCTTGCACCTTAATTTGAGGATCAGAAGCATATGCAAGTAATCACAAAGCGGTACACGAATCCCGACATCAATAAAATACAAAGAAAGAATAGCAACACATACTGCTTGACTAGGAGTCGAAAGTGCATCCATTAGTCTAGCAAGGATATCGCGAACTTTACTCGAGGAAGGATCAAGATATTGCGCCAGTGTCCCAAGCAGCACTACCAATCCCTGCCTGAGGTTATCATGTTCTCCTCCACTTGGCGTAGTATCTGACAACTGCTCTAAAAAGCACACCGAAAAACAACCAAAAATATAGGAAATCACGAAAAAAAAAACCTCGAAGTACACTACCCTATTAAATTGTAATGCTTTTCGTCTCAAATTTGTTCTCTATCGATCCTGAGTGTTATTCCACAAGCAATCGCACAATATATTAAAATTTCACAACGACCAAAATAATTACACTGAAGAGACTTTGTCAATGTTACGTACACGCATTGTGAGCATACGAAATTGAGGAATCGTCGATATTTGGATACTCGGACGACTCTTCTTCACTGGTTGTGCGGAGCCAAAACATGATCTCCATTTTTTGGAGTTCTGCTGTTTTAACAACTGTGGTTCCCAGGAATCTCGAGGATAGCCCGGCCAAAGTCTGCCCCAGGCCGTCACCACCACAGGCAGTCGAAGCCCTTGTGGATCAGAGGGAGATTTACCACCATGCGACTTTGATACTAGGACCGTGCTGGATTCTGGTATTGGTTTACTCTTAGCTAGGTTTCCTGATGGAAACGCCGGACTCCTTCTCAGCTTGGGAGACCGCGCCAGGAGATGAATCCTCCGCTGTATATAGCAGCCCGACATCCAGGAACACCCAGCCATGATGAGGCAGTAAACTGTTGAGAGGGGAATGCTCGATACGAATCAAAGCATGAGTTCTTATTCGGCTTTTCATCAAACTAACCTAGAAATGGCAACAGTGTATCCATGATAACTCGACCATGATTTCGAACAACTTCAACAGCAGCATTTCTCATGTTATTACGACATTCTGTGTGGCGATCAGCTAGCCCACAAGGTACAATCTTAAGAAAAACTTTGGGGAGACGGTGAAAAAACAAAAAGCAAAGCACTTTTAATCACTGCACTTTGAACGATTGTGACCTATACTACTCACAATGAAACGAAAATAATCAGTAAAGCAAACCAGCTTGATAAAGCGCATAGCATCTTTTTCTGTGATGCGCCCTGCTAGACGACTTAGAACAAGACCTATTCCACTTCGCCGATCATAATCATCTTTAACCTCCTTCACCATCCGTCCAAACGAATCAAATACCGCAGGATGAATTTGTACCATGTTAGTGTAGACCTAGAAAGGCATTCTTTATCCAAAAAACCAGTCATCCCTGCTGTGATAATGAGTGGGACGATTGCTACTTTTTCAACTACTGTGATACTTTTCTAAAATTAAAGAAATTGCATAATCGATATTATATATGGCATGGATACACAGTAATGGATGATAATACGTAAAACCGACTTGCTTAACTTTCTCAAGAACCACAGGCATCGAGTCAGGGAACTCCTCAACGAAAGCTGATAACGCATTAGCGGCAGACTCACGTATAAAAACTACTTCCGAAACACACTTTTCTAAAATGCAAGACACTGAGCAGCCTCATTCAAAAAGAAGACAAACGAGAAAAAAAAACCACAGTCACATATAAAATTTAAAAGATATAGATCACCAGTACCTATCAGTGGTCCTGCCATTACCCGCCTCAAATGGAACAAGGAAGAGTACCACAACTTGGACGCCTGTCCCGCCACAGATTCGACGGGGTCGTAACGAGCAATGAACAAACGAACCAAACATTCAGTTGCAAAGCTTTCGTCATCGCAAGACAATACAAGGCGTGTCATAAACTGTGGTGCAGACAACACCTGGTATAGCACAACGATTACAGAGCTGGTACTGGGAAACGTTAAATAAACTAATTTCAGTTGAGAATATAACAAAAACATAAAAAAATCTTAGGAAGACCTTAATGATATTCTCTCGTAAATCGAAATTATCGACATCGAGATAGCATAGAATGCTCCGTACCAAGTCGACAATACGTTTGCTAGTAGCCTCTGTTTCGTTAACAACACTAACTAGTTGCATTAGAGCCTAAACATGGCCGACTTTACAAAATAACTACAACACTGCACAGCGCCATTGATGAAATTCAAGGAATAAATTAATTCGAAAACATTTGCAATTAGTAGTTGTAAGTTAGTAGGTTGTGTAAGAAATATAAAACTTACCTGTAAGGAATGAGAAGAAAGACTTCTTGCATATTCTGAAAGCATGAGAGTAGCGTATTCGTTAATGGGCAACTCCAATACTCCACGATCCTATAAGGATTAAGAATTGATGACAATTAAGAATGTCATTTGAATGGATATTGCTAGGTTTTTACCAACAGCAACCAATTGACAATATATATCACGACATTCGATTCGAAGTTTCCTTTTTCTATTTTATTCTACACGACCCGTCTTCACGTCTACTGTGCGGATCCCAGCAATTCTCACATTCGTTCGGTTTTCTCTCACCCATCCACGAAAACCTCCCAATTTTTTTCACGTGTGGCTTTGGCTGCTTGAGGATTTTCATTTCATTTTAAATGTTGCAGAATGGTGGCAGAGCCGATTCTCTTTGGAGTCCTAAACTAGCCGGACTGGACCGTTTCCAATTGAATCGAAGAGAGCGATTTTTCCCGGACAAGTCCGTTAGCAATTTTCCGACCCCGGAGGGATTGACTTGGCTGGCCCAGAGCGGGATCAAACTAACACAATGCTCGCGATGACCGAAATCATTACCACAGTGCTATCGAAGTTATAACTTAATATACTGCCCGCGTACAAAGCAGCATATTTTGTGATTCATGTCTTATGATTTGAAAGAGTGTTAACCTTGAGGAGTCGTCGATTAACAGTGGTTTTTAAGAGTGCTAAGGCAGAGTCTTTAATATCGTTGCCGAATTCACTGGAAGGAGAAAGAAGTGCGTGTAACATGGGATAGAGGACCGTTAGCTGAGGTACGCCGACGGTATCGTCGAATAACAACGAGTCATCCTGAAAACAAATAGTCCAATTGGAATATTTGAATATTCGATTTAGAAAGATAAATACGTCATCTTCTGTGTCTATAACGAAGGCTCGCTCATTAAGGTGTTGAAGTAGACGCCGAATAGCCGCTGCCAACGGCTCATCGCACCAATTGAGAATGCTCCAACGAGCTCCAAGAACTCGAAGTGTGGTACTCGCCACTAACTCACCTAGAATGAAATATAAGATGTTATGAGTACTTTTCGAAACGATAGGATAGTATAAAACCCACATAAACAATCCTCTGTTTGAGGAAAAGCAATACTACAATAAACCAGGAAGATTTGGGCTGCGTTTCTTGAGACGAGATGACTTAGTGTTAGTGGAATGCAATAGTCAAAAAGCAGATTTGTCCTGAAATTGAACATCGCATTAGGAAATCTTGTTGTTCTAGAAAGATGAAAATGAACATCGCCCGAGTAAAACACTGCGCGATTTACCTCCACAAAACAACTAGGAGACTTGCAAACAACAAAACGGCAAAGTAAAGTTAAGTTAAACCAAAAACACCACTAAGCGCGCATAAGACACAAAAACCGAGCGGGCCAGATTTTGACGTACCGTCGCATAGGAATCGAAAACCTCAGCGCCGAACTCTCGGAGAATTCTAGATGAATTCCAAAAATACCAAAATGAACCGCAGGGAGGAATGCCTCCTAATCACGCGTGATATTACAGTACTTAAGATCGATATTTTAATTTGAGAGGCAAGTTACACTTCCATGTGAACTCTGTGCGGTTGTTCTCACGTGAAATACTCAGTGGAAGACTTATTTACAGAAAGCGGTGAGCGTACGAAAAAAGCTATTTTTCTAAGCAATCGAAATATGGGTTTCGTTTTCCTTTCTGTTTTGGATAACCAGAGGTTTGGATGAGTAGATTGCAGTCAACATGACCTTCCTAGGCTCTGAAGAAGGTGGAATCTATTGAAACGTCCACTTGTTTGTCAATTTAATAAGCAATAGAGTAAGAACGTCTTGTTTGATCATCAAGAAAACAGTGAATTACTTTATAAGCCGAGATTAGTAAAAAGTAGATCTTGAGAAAACAGCTAGTGTTTAAAAGCTGTTTATTACGCTAACGAAAATTTATGTACCAAGCTTTGTTCGCTAAGGTTATGAACGTTTTTGGCTGAGTGGTTTGCACGTCATTTTCACCATTCCAGACCCCGAAGAAGGTGAAACCGCCGAAACGTCAGCTATTGCTTATCAGCAAACGCTGTAATAAAAACCTCGTGTTTGCTCATCCAAAAGAAAGCGAAAATTAACATAGGTTACAGCTTCAATGATGCTAAGATACTTGCAAAATTTCGAACCGCAGGTGTCTGCGGTGGGGAACGAACGCGTTATTGTCCTTTCCGTGGAGTAACGCGTTCATCACCACACCATGCGGGTCCTTCGTTTCGTCTGTCTCTCAGCTAGTTATACCGATCTCTGCCGTCAGCAATCACCCGTTAGCAGGGCTGATCTGGGACGCCCAAATCGGCAGCGAACCCAGTTAAGCTGAGGCTGTAGTTATAATCACAATTTTAACTCACTATCTACTGCTTACTCTTTTTAATGGCAGGGTATATATTGCGAATATAACTTCAATGATGGCGAAATATTTGCAAAACTCCTGCAAGGCCCCCAGATCAATCCCGTTAACGAGTGACTGCTGACGGCAGAGATCGATAGAACTAGTTGACAGACAGGCGAAACGAAGGACCCGCATGGTGTGGTGGTGAACGCGTTACTCCCCAGAAAGGACAATAGCGCGTTCGTTCCCCACCGCAGACACCCGCGGTCCGGAGTTCTGCAAATATCTCAGCAACATTGAAGTTATATTTCGCAATATATACCCTGCCATTAAAGAGAGTAGGCAGTAAATAATAAGTTAAAATAAGTAATAGCCATAACAGCGCTGAGATATGAGCAAAGTTGAAAACCTCAGCCGAGAGTCGAACCCGTGGTTACACTTTCTCAGAGTTCACGTGTTATCCAACACACCAACCGAGCCCCCTGATTTGCTTTTCTCCCAAGAAAAATAAAGCATGTTGCTCGATCTCTGTGGTGGCTTTTACATGAGACTGCGGTAAAGGTAACCATGGGTTCGAACCCCATCTGCTGTTCCGAGTTTTCCTCATAACTCAGAATCCTTGTTGTTGTACTTCACATAGCATCCTGATACGAAAAAAAAAAGAATAGGTAGTAAATAGAAGTCAAAAAGTCGTTGACAGCTATGCTTATTAGTTGGCCTACTGTAACATAAGCAGTATAAGTATCCTCTCCCCAGAGTCAAACTAGCTCCAAAAGCTTTGAAGCTATTTTAAAAAAATTCACCTAAAAGTGGACTAATGTCACAAATTGCTTCTGATCTGAAAAAAGGTAACGGTAGGAGTAAAACCTCTCCACGCCGAAATTACATGATGATGACTTGGTAGCACCATGGCTGTCTCAATACTCCTAGGAAAAGGTTTCTATTCTTCTACTAACATACAAAGGAAATTTCTCTGGATATCAAACAACACCATTGAGCAAGCCTTCATCTCTTCTGCTAAGGAATCAACACCATCATGACATAAACGTCGAAGAAGTTTCGATGAAGCAAAGACGATGCTGAAAGAGACCAACAGAACAGGAAAAACTACGGAATGGGAAAAGTGAAAAGAAATCTAGCCCGTAAAAAACCGTTGCTATGATAGAGAAAGAATTTAGAAACCGTTCAATAGATTTCGTCCACAACTTAAAAACCACAAAACAGCTGCATTTGCTGCATTAAGATAAATTAGAGAAGCGGTCCGCCTGATGATAGACTTAATATTCAAACATCTCCTCGCTTGCCTGTTCAGTTTAAGACTGCTAACGGTTACGCTACTAATACTCTAGGCAGCCGAGCTTTGTAGATATACCATAACGACGGTAAAGATATTGTGTACTGCCTACAGTTCTCTCGAACAACGCCTTCTGAAATATAACCGGTACATCAAACAACAGGTAAAACATTGCAAGTTCGGATCGCCGACAAACATTCATCATCGTTTAGATAATACATGTAAAGCAAAACCGTCGTACATAAATATATTAATAGACGAACACTTATGTATTAGGTAATGAAATAAACAATGGTTACCTCTTCGGCGAACAAATTCCATGGTGATAATGTTAAATAACCAAACAAAACAGAGTACGAACTGTAACTATTGAAAAAGCAATATATGCAATGCAAAAAGGATCCTGCGTAGCCTAGTAGTCAGAGTGCCGCGGAATACACACACAGGGCCTTTGATTCGGTTCCAGCTCCAGATTATCTAGGCCTCCACTCTCCTGAGATCCGCAAAGTGATACAAGGCTCCCCTGGGAGGATTGAAATACTGACTTATTTATTTATAAGTTCTCATGAATTGATCTTGTTTAGTTGATACGAGGTTGGTATAGTTGCTCTTGTTTTTGTTGCTGCTAGCTGATGGATGACGTTTCGGCGAATTCGCCTTCCTAAGAATCGTGCTGTTACGAGTGGCACACACTGACTTACTGGCAGGATACTTCCATTCAATGTATTGGCCAAATACATAAAAAGCATTTATAAAAATATTATGAAGGGACAATTACGTTTAACGAAAGTAGAAAGCTACAAAATTTCAAGACGGTGTGTCGTACTTAAACGCATTTGTAAGGTTTAAGTAAAACAACATAGTTTGCCTCCTTATTACCAGTGAAGCAAAGAACTGTTTCAATCCCTCGTAAAAACTAAGTTCTGAACAATACCTGGCCAACGCCCCACGATGATCAGCCGATACCATCGCTCGCAATTCGTCCAATTTCACTTCAATGTTTTCATACATCCGACCGATTTCATCTCTAATTTCCTTAAAAAGCTTGCCATCGATATGAAGTAGTATGAAAATATGCGCGGCCAGATTCAATCTTTCGCTACTGTAGCTATAACAACTAGCCTTTTCCTTAGCTAATTCTTTCTCCATCACTTGCTTTTGAAGAGCCGTAAGTTTCCCTTCCTTACGCTTCTTCTCCGCAAGTTCTCGGCGCAATTGTAGTTCTGCCAGCTGGTCACGAAAACTATATGCTTTGTTTTCTCGACGCATATTATGACTGATCTCGCCTTCGTCACTCAAATCAGGAAGATTCTCCAACAATCAGTTGTTTTAAACAAAATTAAATTCTTGCCAATGCTTTTAAGCTTAAAAAACGTTATTTAAAAATCACGTAATCAAATTTGTAAACATAAACGTACAAAAAACCTACGACTCACAATTCTAATACATCTGTATTGTAAAGATGACCTTCGGTGCACCGATAGATTGATACATGTCGTTCAGGAATCCGTACATAGTCGTCCACATTAAGCTCTGAGACGCTTTTTTCGATGTGATCCCAAAGAGCAGAGCGTATAGATGGGACATTCAATGCCACCAAAGTCACAAGTGCATTATCACTTAAGCAAGTTTTGTAGAAAGTTTTTCTAAGCAAATTGAAAAGGAGAAGAAAATTACACACCGAACATTACGATCGGTACAACAAAGAACCAAAGTCACTGCTTTCTCCCGAAATAACGCACTGGCTTCCCAGCGATCGCTATCAGCTTGACTATGCATCCACCTCAACCATACTGAACCGTCAACTTCGACTGTAACTCAAATTCATTTACAAATTATGAACAAACACGCAGTTTCAAAAAGTAAAGGATAAAAAAGCTCTCGGCGTTGATCAATTCCTGAGGGGTGCGTCATACATTCGGCTTCATTAACCATCGTTGGAGGCGATTGAATGCATATCTGGCCTTTACAATGGCTCGCGTTGGCCTACTGATGTGATGATGCATGGGACCACTGCTGCTATCCTCCCAGGCAAGTCTAACACCAATTTACCGACCCCAGGAGAATGGAAGGCTTGGTGGACCATGGGCACGAGGATCGATTCCAAGTGTGTGTTGCAGGGCGCCTCCGACCACTGCGCCACACGCTCCCTGAAAGTTTCAAGAAGTATGCATCATAAATAACAGACCAAGTCTTTGAACTGATGCCAGCAACAAGGTATGGATAGCAAGTTCGTCAAGCTCTGGGCCTTCGGTAACGAGCAGTAATCGTAGTACCTCCAATACAATGGTTAAAATCATATAATACGGCATCATCAGATTTTTTTAATAAGCAAAGTTAAAAGACATTACCTTCACGTACCACTCTCCTAGCACCGTTGCGGAAGAGTCGGGTTGGTTACGTTTCAATTTACGACACATCTAAAGCAAAAAGAATGTGAGCGATTTCATGGACTAGATCCGTACAATAAATTAAGTGAACCTGATCAACATATCCATTTATAGTTTCAGTAAATATTTCAGAAGCAAGGGCTACTGCAAAATGTGTCTTTTCGACGCGAAGGATTCGCTCTACGGAAAGTGTAGCGCGCTTCCTCACTTGCCAATTAGGCCAGAACAACAGAATTGTCATTGTCTTAAGAATCAAAGCAGGATATGACGTCGACTGAAAAACGGCCAATTTACTGTTAGGTTAGCAAGTTTTAATAATTCGTTATCCAACGTACCTAAATTATATCGGTCTTGGATAAAAGATTATCATAAGGCTTATGAAACAATATTCCCGAAAATCTTCAGATTTCTATTCTTTTCCTTTTGAAACATCATCCTGGTTCTGTTAGAAAATTCTCGATACAAACTTACTGAATTTGATAACGGCCTTTCAAGTATAACTTTCTCTATGAGTTCAACCCATGCTATAGCATCTTGTATTCCCATTGGCAACATTGCTTTCTCCTAAAATTTTCTGCTGAAATTAATCCGACAAAAGTAAACCTCTTCAACACAGTTAACCCTTTCACGCACGTACATCTTGATTACAATGCGCATCCCCAGTGTGCTTCAATGACACGTCACCCGACGGGCTAAGTGAAAATGGTCGGGATGTTGAAAGAGTTGAACCTCTTGATAATAACAAGGGCTTAGTGATTAGGGTTAACCAAAACAGTTGCTCAATATTTTCATGTAGATAGATTACTCTTCGATCACACGAGACCTTCACGACTCTTTGTAGTCAAACGATGATTTGTCGAACACTTTTTTTTGGACTGCGATGTGCCGGGGGATCCATCCCCTGGCAGAGTTTCCCAAACTGAGGAGCCTGGCGTTTCCATCAGGAAGCCTAGCTAAGAGTAAACCAATAATAGATTTGTTGGATTTTACACCAGGATTAGTCTATGGGTAAGCATTCTCAACCATATTTGTAAGCCGTTTCAGATGGCAAGATGAAATCTGTGGATGTAGAAAACGGATAGAGGCACAGAAATACAGTCCAATTATCACATAAAACCATTCGGAAAGCTAGTAACATCATAGTTAAATGATAGATGATTTTTTTTCTTTAATCACATACCCCTCCCAACGGTTTACCGCCTCGCCGTGGCTAGGTGTTCCTGGGTTTCGGACTGCGACGTGCCGAGAGATCCATCCCCTGGCAGAGTTTCCCAAACTGAGGAGCCTGGCGTTTCCATCAGGAAGCCTAGCTAAGAGTAAACCAATAATAGATTTGTTGGATTTTACACCAGGATTAGTCTATGGGTAAGCATTCTCAACCATATTTGTAAGCCGTTTCAGATGGCAAGATGAAATCGGTGGATGTAGAAAACGGATAGAGGCACAGAAATACAGTCCAATTATCACATAAAACCATTCGGAAAGCTAGTAACATCATAGTTAAATGATAGATGATTTTTTTTCTTTAATCACATACCCCTCCCAACGGTTTACCGCCTCGCCGTGGCTAGGTGTTCCTGGGTTTCGGACTGCGACGTGCCGAGAGATTCATCCCTTGGCAGAGTTTCCCAAGCTGAGAAGGAGTGTTCCACCAGGAAGCCTAGCTAAGAGTAAACCAATACCAGGATCCACCACCGTTCTGGTTTCAAAATCGCATGGTGGTAAATCCCCCTCTGATCCACAAGGGCTGCGACTGCCTGTGGTGGTGAAGACCTGGCGCAGACTTTGGCCAGACTGTCCTCGAGATTCCTGGGAACCATAGTGGCTTAACCAGCATCTCCGAAAAGTGGAGATTATGTTGGGGCCCGCACAACCAGTGAGGATGGGCCATTCAAGTATCAAGTCTCAAGTAATCACATACCAAGAGTCAGATCACACTTCAGAGCTGCCCAAGAGCGTGGGTAGTTAGAGAGACATGGAAAAAATTCGAGTGAACTGAACAGAAGAACAGTACAGTAATCTCAAAAAACCAACGCGTTGGGGCTCCTGCGTGGGTTTACGAACTGTATACCTTCATTTCAACGCGGATTTCAGTTGGTCTCAAATGACACGCGATCGTGGAAGGGTTAAGCACAGAGATGGGTGAAGAATATACCTTCAAAATACTATCGTACCCAATAACAGTGTTCCAGACTTTGCTGTAATTGGAAGTCCCAGCTTCACAGCTTTTTAGAAGAAGAAGTGATAAGAAAATAAACTGAAGAGGTTCCTTGGAAACAGAGTCCAACTGCTGCCATAGTTGCTGCTCGCAATCATTCGGTATTGCTTTCATTTTACCTGTGAAGGTGTTTTAATCTAAAGCGTAAAGCATTGAGCAATTTATAAACATACAGATCGTGAAGACTGCAGCCAATGAACGATAACCGATATGGCGGACGTTCGAATGAAACAAAGGTGCATTCTAAACAAAACAGAAGCATTATCCCCTCGTAAAGTAGAACGTCTTGCACTTACAAATCAAAAATGCTCATGTAGAAAACGTACTTTAAAAAAAGTGACCAGCGCGGGTGAGCTCGGCGTTAATCGCTTTGTCCAAGCAACAATAACATTGCACTGAGCAGTCATAATCATTTCGCTGCCTAGATTCCCTATGTAGGACTTTTGCAAAAAAATTTGCTACTAACGAGAGAAACCTTCTTTATCTGGAGTTGCAAATTTAGTGATGACATTACTGGCAATCTTTTCGAAAACACAGTCCTCTTTGCCCGTTTCTGCACACTTAGCTAATCCTTCCAAAATGATTACACGTTGCTCAGGAGATCTGCCAGCTGAAAGACTTCTTTGCAGATTCTCGCCAATATGTATCGTCAAGTTAAAAATGTAGAAATATCAGACGTTCCAGATCAATGAAGAATCTACTACTCATACTTGCACCATTTTCATGCAAAGCTTCACAGATACTGAGAAAGAAAAACTAGTGCGAACGTCTATTTATTATCGGTAAATCCCAAAAATGTGGGAAACGTGAAATTTCGAAAGCAGATGAAATCAGGGCTAACCTGCTAATAACTCCAGAAGATAATTCACAATTTTCTCAGTTGCAGGTGCTTCAACTATTGAAGTCATTTTCACAATAGCGTTGATGGCAGCACCATTAAGACCCTCAGAAGATGACGTTAAACAGGCTTAATTTAAAATTAAAACCGATAAAATATGAAAATAAAGCACAAAACCACATAAAAGACTAACGAGATAATCCATTCAGTAGGTCGCTAAAGCAGTCATCAATTGAGAATTTTATTGACTCGACCACTCTAACCACACCTAAAGAACAAAGACTGAGAACGAAATCTATTCCAGCTAACGCTTCGACGTCTTCGTGAGCCGATGATCCGAGTCGTCGAAGAAGACGAAGACATCGAAACGTTAGCCGAAATAAATTTCTTTATCAACCACGTGTAAGCCCAAAAATTTAAATACCATATTGATTATCTTGGTACCGAGGTTAAATGACGGCCCGTTTGAAAACTATTTGATAGTATTCAGAATATTTTCTGAAAAGACCTGCCAGAATGCTCTTACCAAACACCGCGACCTCGGGACTTCTCAACAGCGACTTCTTCATATTTGGTAACAAAAGGTTGTGGAAACTTGAAGAAGAAAGACAACTAAGGCCGTTGCCGCATATTCTCTATAAACCAGAGGTAAAAACAAACTTTACGATTCATACTTGTATTTCATTATTAAGCCGCTGAGATGTAAATGCGGAAAGAAAAAGTATAACCCTTACTATGACAAAGTCTTCTTGTCTACTTTTTGAAAATAAAATTGACTTGGTGAAAAGATCAATGAACAAATCATGGTCGGTATAGTTGTCCACCTGGAACAAAGCAGTCTTTCATTCACCACGCTGCGAAATATGAATAGAAGCACGTTTTTTTCTATGAATACGTACTCACCAAGAAGAGGTACGACATAAAGCAGAGCATCTGCTTGGAGCAGGAGGTGTCTTTACACATTTGAGAAACACCTTCTCTAATCCTTGTAGCATGCTTATCGTCACGACATAGTATTCGAAGCTTGTTCTCGAAGATCTTGGAGGCTTTTGGAGATATGCTGCAGTAGAACGACAAGTTTCCCAAAGCAGAAATCTGCAAGCGTTACCTTAGAAACGGCCAAAACAACATACTATTTCGAAACATTACGAGACGAAGAACGAAAATATAGACTATCCGACAAACCAGTTCTGGTACTACAGCATCCGAAACGTGTGGAAAGTACTGCAAAAGCCATTTCGATGGAGCGATTGCTAATCCAGCGATACTTTTACTTAAAATATGAAATAGAACTATGCATTTGTAGGCGTGTTATGTGTGAATTCAAAACTCCTATCACACATCGCAGGCTTCCATTTGTGTTTCCAATAATATATGATACAATCTGATGGACCATAATGAAATATTTACCTTATGTTCGGCATCAACAAGAAAGATGTTAAAATAGTTTGGGCTACAGAACCCCATGCTGCATCAGAGTCATGTTTAGCCAACGCATTGAGAAGCTTCTCCACCGCCTGATAGGATGAAATTATTCGGTATATTTAAAGCGAAACACAGGATACCTTGAAACTATCACGATGACGATAACGAAGAATGGCTGAGGTCAGCGATAGTTTTGCAATCCCTTTCACAAAAGGCTGCGGCAGCTCTAAAAAGCTTCAGCTTCAAATTAAATAAACTCAAAAGAACAAAGAAATTAAAAGCTCTTAATTAATTAAAAGAGCCCCGTAAAGAGAAAAAAATCATAGTTCGATTTAGCCCAGGGTCCAAGTTTTGCGAATATCTCAGCACCGCTGTGGTTGTAATTCACGCCATGCTGTGAAAATTATAGTAGGCAGAAAATAAAAGGTTAACATTGTGATTTAGACTACAGCCTCAGCTTAACTTGGTTCAATGCCGATTTGTGTTCTCCAGATCACACCGCTGACGGGTGAATGCTGATGGCAGCGTTAGGCAGAAAACTAGTCGAGAACGCAGAACAAGGGCCTCCGTGGAGCAGTACGTAACGCGTGAGCCGTCGGCAAGGGAAATCATGGCTCGATCTAGCTCAGCGTCCAAGTTTTGCGAACATATCAGCATCGTTGTGGATGTAAAGAGAATCTGATTTTCAAACTGCTGATTAGGAAACCTCCTAACAGTTTAATGCTTCAACGTAGCTGGGAAGTGTTCCTGGGTGTCGGGCTGCGATGTACAGCGGATCATCCCCTTGGCAAGGCCTCCCAATCTGAGGAGACTGGCGTTTCCATCAAGAAGCCTAGCCAAGATTAAATCAATGCCGGGATCCACCACCGCCCTTGTATCAAACTAGTCGCGTGGTGGCTATTCTTCCTCTAGCCCACAAGGGCGGCGACTACCTGTAGTGGTGAGGACCTGGGGCAGACTTTCGCTAGGCTGATCTCGGGACTCCAAGAAACCACAGCTGAACCAGCAAATCTCTGAAAAATGAGAATATGCCGGGGCTCAAACAACTAGTGAGGGCCAGCCGTCCAAGTATCCAAGTAGGTGTTAGTAAACATTGAGTGATTTTCACATTACTGTAAGATCGTAGGACTATAAATATGTATACCTGAAACGTTACTAATTATTTTAATAAGTTGGACGTATGCCTGAAGGTGAAGACGAACGCTTGGATCACTCACAACAGCAGTAAACTTACGAACTTCATCTCTAACTCGATCTACCTAAATTGACGAATCCTATACTAAGATCTCGATGTTTACGATGAGAATGCAAACCCAAATACTGAAGAATAACCTCATTCTTCTCGCCAACTTCTCCAGAAGGATCGATATTCTCCTTCAACGGCTCCAAGTTCTCTTCAGACATATTCTCCTCTTTAAAAACTGCAACAATACTTTCAACAGAAAACTACTAACCTAGAAAGTGAGGAACAACTAATAAAGTGTCATTAACTAGTGAAATTCCTATGATACGTATAAAGTACAGAGAAACACCAATGGGTAGCCCGCCAACGCTTCCCAATCGGTGAGCCATTAACCCATAACGCCCCATATGGACGCTATAGTGTCCATATTGGGTTTAGTGGGTTCCAAGATTTTTTTACCGCACTACATATACTCATTCGTTAGCTGATCGAAAGAAGAACAAAACAGCTGACATGCAACTAGAAATGTTATTCCCTAGATTCAACAATTTGCAAAAGTCCTCCTGTCGGAAGAGGGCATTTGCGGCAACACACCCTAAAATACGACACTTCAAGAAATACGTAATACAAAAGAAATATGGCATCGAATGGACTTTGTACCCGATAGCTACTCAATTACCTGAATACTTGGGTTCCCCTCCTGCACTATATGTGCGAGTGCCAGCATAATTTCCTTTTTTCTCGGAGTTTTGCTGGTCTAGCCACTGTGGTTTCCTGAAGTCCCGAGATCAGCCAGGCCAAAGTCTGCCCCAGGTCGTCACCACCACAGGCAGTCGCAGCCCTTGTGGATCAGGAGATTTGTCACCATGTGATGTGACTAGTTTGATACCAGGACGGTGGTGGATACTGGTATTGGTTCACTCTTAGTTGGGCTTCTTGATGGAAACGCCGGACTCCTTTTCAACCTGAGAGACCCAGCTGGGGCATGAATGCCCCGCTGCACATCGCAGCCCGACACCGAGGAACATCTCCCAGCCACGATGGGGCGGTAAACTGTTGAGGGGTACATGCTAATTAATAGTAAATATGTAATTGAAACAAGAAAGTTGCAAATATGTCTAGGAAGCGCCAGAGGTCAACAAAGTGGTTGGTGACCCATGTGATTTATTGCGTTGCATGTTTGATCTTATGGTGAAGGATGCCACTTATGTATACGGCTGCTAAGCAAGCGTTAAAAATCCGGACATATGAATTTCGTTTTCATTTTACTGTGAATTCGAATTTGGACCAAATCTAGAAATAAATCACTATCTCCGAGGATCATTTACGACCTTGAGGTCATAGTTTAGTCCTCTCCATCCCTCAATCCACGGAGGTCCCTGATATGAGGGATCTCGAACCGGTTAGTCGCGAGACTATGTGGCGCGTCACCAGGTGGCAGATAGCGAGTTAATCGTGGACCAAAAACGACCGTATGTTTCCCTGAGACGCAGGTGGATCCAAGGGATGGAATCGCTGTTTCTGCTGCCCCGATTTCGCACATACTCTCTGTATTTACCAGGCGTATTCATGTACATGTGTGCGGGCGCGTTCAAGTTTATGGGGTTTGTATTCTACAAGTCAGTTTCGCCAAAAGCGTGCAATCAAGAGACAGGGAAATATGTGAGAGGCGGTTAGGAGTCGCCTTCAACAAATAAGCTCCATGTCCACTCTGGGAGAGCCTGGCAAGCTACCCGTGGGTATAACCAGCCCCCACGTTCAGAGCCCACCAAGCTATACGTGGGCATCAAAATGCTAAACAGTAAAAGAAACGGGCCTCATTACCCTGATCCCGAAAGAGCCTCCAATTCGGCAGCGTTGGCTAGGACGAGTACGGAGAGGCTGCTAAAATCTCAGGGCCAATGGAAGCTGCTTGGATCGCAAAGAATTAAGGTGACGATCTGTACCTACAATGCACGTACCTTGCATCCGAGTCCTTGACAGAAGGCTTGCTCATGCAAGCAAGAAATATAAGATATGACGTTATCAGCCTGGCCGAGACGAGACGACGCCAGCCAATCAACGCCGTCTATGACACCGGAGAAGAACTCTTCCTCGGAACATGCGACAGTAGAGGAGTCAGCGGCGTCGGCGTTCTCGTCAACACGAGTTTGTCCATGAACATCGATTCATTCGAACAGCTTACAACCCGAATCGGACGTTTACGATTAAAAAGATGTGGATCAATACCGACATTCTTCGTCGTTTACGCGCCGGCATCAAAACTATGACGAAGAAGAAGTCGAAGTGTTCTATATGGACTTGGAGAAGTTCTGCACAGAAGACCACACATTCTTCAAGGTCATCATTGCAGATTTCAATGTCAAGATTGGATCAAGAAGAACGTGTGAAGAACATCATATTGGGACCCACGGATTGAAGTGGAATGAACAGGATGAGTGGCTCTCTGAGTTTATCATGACGACCAGAACAATTCATGGTAACTCGCAATTCTAAACGCCCCACCCTCAACGCTGGACGTGGGAATCTACCAGCGGAGCGTACCATAACGAAATAGGCCACATAATAGTAAACCGAAGGTTTTGCCCAACCGATGTCGCTGTTGTCCCGATATTCTATACAGGATCAGACCAACGCCTCCGTCGTGCAAGACTCCATTGCTCGCAGAAAGGAGAAAAAACCGCTAAATTCAAAAAAGAAGTCTCAAAACCACTATAAACTGATACTTCAGCTCATTAGTCGGCTGTTGGGAAGATACCGTTGTCGATAACATCGACGAAGAATATGACCGGCTCATTCAACATCTTCACTTTAGCGACATGAAAGCTGAGAGTTCGAAAATTATCAAAAGGCGTCTGTCTCCAAAAACACTCGAGCTGATACGCTAGCGTAGAATCGTACCAGCTGAAGAACATTACAAAAATTCCTTCAGCGGAATACGAAATGCTCCCGAGCTCTCCAACACTAGCACGAATTCAGATTGTAGCACCACCATAGCCTGTTTCTCGTCGCGCTGTTTCACTGAGCAACGTTTGCAACCCATCTAATAACAAAGTACATGTGGCACTACTAGTTATCAAATGAGTAGAGAGGGCACAGCGTACCGTCATCATTGCCACGTATGATCGTTGAATAGAGAATGTCCACTACTACTAGTGTCCAATCAACGTCTAATATTTCACGAATATTCCACTAATGTTGCACTTCAGGCACCCAGTGGGCTCCAATAGATAACGCGCCCTCTTAAGAATGGTAGATCTACCTAATTAAGGCTGACATATGGTGTTTACCATATTCAAAACCTTCAAAATCCTGGATTTAAATCTATTTTCCTCCAAATGTGGAATTCATGTATAACTGAAAAGGACGGCAGCGTTAGATAAAAAACTGGCTGATGAAAAGGCAAAGCAAGGACCTCAGTGGTGCCGCGCGTAACACGTGAGCTCCTGGAAAGGGTAGTCGAAATTCTATCTGGCGCGGGAGTCCAAATTTTGCAAACATCTCAACACCATGGTCGTTGTGTTTCCCATCATACCCTGCTGTGAAAAGTAATAATAGGCAATAAATAAAAAGCTAACATTGTGAAAAGGAACTGTCGCTGTAATGGGCATAATGAACATTTATAGATTCGCTCATTTATGTGCATCTTTAAAACATAACCACTTTTTTGATGGACCGAACAATGGTGAAATATGGTGGTGGTGGTGATGGAACTAGTTATACATTAGGTTTCCCACACCCATTCGTTTTGACGCCTCTCGTCGATTTCCCAATAAAAAGAAGTCAAGCGCGAACTCTGTTCCTGTTCTCAGCTTTTTTTCTGTTTGTCGTTCAAATTCTGTGGTGCAGAAATCTTCCGAAACGCTTATGTTTACTGTTCGCACCCTATCTTCCTCCTTGTTCGCTCTACTGTATCTCTACTCACTGTGACAAGTGTATATGCTCTTTCCTACCATTGTTTCTGGTCTCGAAAATTATATCTGTTGAGATATATTAAGGAAAATATCATGGAGCCAGGATTATCTGTCAGGATCATATGACTTCACAAAAAAGCGTTTAACACCAATCTACCCTGTCTCCCAACAAAACCATAACATTTATTACCATCGTTCACAAAAAAGATAATCGTGTGAAGTTTCTTTCTTGAATTTTTTGTTTCGAAAAGATCTTATTTTTGGCAAAGTCATGAAGTAGGAGCAAGCATTGGATCGCAATCACCACTGAATAGGATAACTAGATGTGAGGAAGATTAGTGACTGGATAACCTATACCGGTTACGGTTGTCAAAGCTGGAATCCTGAACAGGTAAACGTTAGGTGTTGGCGAATTCAGGAATAAAATGATGGTCAGTGATCATATTCTTCGTTGACATACCAGTCGACAACCCCACTGTGATGGAGAATAATGATTATCGCTGCTATTACGGTAAAAACAAATTGAGTAAATATTACTGCCAGAATAGTCACGAGTATATTCTGAAACGCTTTGCCGTCAACTTTGACAGTATCGAATCCAGTTAAGTTATTCTTAGCAAAAGCCTTAGACTGCGAAATCTTTAAAATCGGGAATCCCGTCTTTCAACAACATTACAAAACTTGAAGCGGAAATTGCTGCCATTCGAATGACTAGGGCATTATCTAGATCAGTTCTATTTAGATGCGAGAAAGGGTATGAGAATGACGAAAAGGTTCCTACTTACAATTTTTGAACGATTTGTGCTTTCAGGCTTTTGCCGATGATGCGCACCGCTTCGTGATCCCTGTCCTTAACAGTTGTAGACATCATTAAAGCAACAATAAGATCAAATATAGCGGTCACAGAGTGCGTATGGCGCAATGGTTAGAGGTGTGATGTAATACACAGACGTGATCATTGGTTCAAACCCGCACACAATAGAACGACTCTGCGTTTCACCAAGGAAATTGCTTCCAGAAGAGTCCGGAATGATGCCACCACTCAGCTGCTAGAGAGATGGTTACCCATTAGTTGTGTTGAAGAATTATGCCTTCAGTTGATCGTTACTATGATTAATGGAGAATTTATGCCCCATCGTTTCATGCTCCTCGTGTCTTTCCTTTTTCTTTGTTTTTGACAAGGTATTGATCAACGCTGCTTTTGACAGGCTTCGTTGTGCACGCCTCAGCATTATGGCGAAGATGAAGTCAAAGCATTCTATACGGACTTAAAGAAATTCCGTATATAAGATCACATCATCTAGAGTCTATCATCATCATCACCATTTCTTCGTCAGCACCTGTTTTCACACCAAGACTTTCAGTGGGAAGCACTATAACAAAGTAGAATTCAACATATTAAATGGAAGGTATTCTCTATTTCGAAATGTTCAACATCCAAGAAATTAAACCCGAAAATCATCGCGAAATGGAGATTTCTTCAAATCCTCGGACGATGATGTTCCGCAAGGTACCGTCGTCGACAACATGGAGACTACGACGAGCTCATACAACACCAACACGGTAAGGCTCAGTGTGATAGGAGCCTGAAAATCGCTATAAGGCGTTTGTTATCAATTTTCAAATTCAAAGCCGAAGAATTGTAAGCACAGTTGTCTGAGCTAAACTCGCTTCCTCAAAGCCGTGGAGGAAAGCTATAGCACATCTATCCTAGGACTCGAAAGAGAATCGACTTGACCAGCAATTGGACAGATTCGTAACGAAGGCAACGCTCCTCAAGCAGCAGCCGAATCCACACGTGAAGAGTTCAAAAACCTTCGTGGATGCTGGACGATGAAACGAATCGATTGCAAAAAGTTCTGAAACCCGCACAGCAATTGTGAAAATGAATCATGTGGAATGTATGGATCAGCAGGCGCTAAAACGCTCTTTGGTTCGATTTTCATCAATGGGTTCCACTCAGGCCACCAACATTACAAAACGAATTAGCAATACACATAACTGGAAACGACATCGTCGTCGAGTTCCTTTTTGACCGGTTTTCGGTAATCATTTTAAATGTTTACGTGAGCGTTTTATATTCTACACATTAGTGGGATTCTAAGTAGCAGATGAATGAGGTGGCGCTTTTTCATGAGAACAGTTCACATCTAATCTTTAAAGATTGCTTTTCGGCAGGAAGCGTGTAGCACGGTGCTCAAAATTGCTCGATATGCAGACGGTCGTTGGTTCACCCCTACGCTTCAAGAAAGGCTAGTAGAAAGAAATAAAGTACTTCGTAATCACCTGATGATCCTCCAGAATCGGAATGTGATACGCTGGTCCTTGTATGTGGCTTTGCTTTTGGCCTAAATCTTTTATGAAATACGCAACACAATCATATGGCCCTTTTCCTTCCTCGAATTCTTCGATTAAGAATGAAATTTTCTGTAGTTACAAATGAGTCAAGGAAAAATGAATATTTAACAGCCCTATATGATGAGAGGATATTTCAAAAGCTAGTTTCCTTTCAGTTTTCAATCGTTTTTTCTGAAGACAGTGGTGGAAAAATCGACACCTCTAGGGCCGTCAGATACCTATGTACGCATTCAGCACAATGGAGGTGGAATACATTTTCATGAATAGCTATACTGTACATTTATTTTTACAGTAGAAAGTAAGGAAAAAGAAGACCAAACGGTTTTTATTTTTCCAGTTAGAGATTTTCTCCTAATGAACGAATTTTCATAGTACACAACGTCCCACGCACTTTGAGAATTGTACTTTAAGGGAAACCAGCATAATACTATGGATACGATTCCCTTTTCACAATTTTGTTAAAACTGGGAGCGTGTAGCGCAGCTATTAGAGATATCATAGAATACACATGTAGACTGGTTCCATGCTCCGTTCTGGGCCTAGCAAGCTCTCCATCCCTCCGGGGTCTGCAATTTCATGCAACGATGACTTAATAATGTCTAACTTTTATTTACTGTCAATTTCTTTTCATGGCCTGGTATTACATGAATAAAATCACAAGGCCACGCGTCTCCCTTATCGATGGACCACTTGGCAGTTAAAAGGAAGACAACGTGGGGCGTTCCCAGATGCAACTCGGATTCTTTTGTTCTTCGCTTTCAACATACTCACACGACATTATCGTAGTGTTCAGATCCCCTATAACCCCCATTGACACTAAAAGTTTAGTGTGAGCGGCAAGCGCTATGAGCTCCTGAGTGGCCGAATTCTAGTCTGACGGTACTTGTTTTAGACTTCGATAATCATTGTTGAGATCTGAAGAATTTGACAGAATCCAGCACGAAATATTGAGATGTTCCAATGAAGAGAATAAATGGTTGCAGGAGAGATTTTTAGTATAAAAAGATGTTAACGCCGTAGAAGAATACATCACAAAACGTACTGGAAATACTCTATTGCACTTTTTCGATTTCGTATACAAGCGCTATGTGCTTTAGTTACAGAGATAAATATTCGATCAATATACAATCAATAAGATTTAATTTTTTGTTTGTGAACGGATTATAAACGAAATGAATGAGATCACCTCTGAACATGTTGTGACTTCTTCACTGGTTTCAGTGGTGATGCTGACTTTGAATTTTTAGGCGGCAATGATGACCGATCAGATTTAGAAAGGTCCATTACTTTCACGTAAGCGTCGGGTACTCCGACCTCATCGTAACCACCACCGTCTGGTATCACCTCCTCATAACTATGTCCTTCCATATTATTAAAATCGTTTAAATTCTGTGGCAAAGCAAAATAGCTGAAAAAAGACGTTTTAACTGTAACAGAGTAATCCATATAGCCACGACTATAATACGTGTATTTGATAGTTCCGTTGTTTCTTACCCAACAGCAACACATGACGTGCGAATAGCTCTAACTTTTTTTGGTGCTAGCGTCCATTTCGTTTCAAAACAAGAAATCATAATGCTTCATTGGCAACATACGGGAGTACTGTCAATTTCTGTACTTGCGCTATCGATCTTTAAGTGTTTCTTACCTGCCCAGTGCCCTCTTACCCTCACTTCACTAAAAAGGGCAGCTTTACTTTAGTCTGCCTTGTTAATCCACCGAACACAGTAAAGGAATGAACTGGAAGTATGGATGAATACTCAAAAATGAACCTCACCTTATGGAAAATTAATTTACCGTTCAGCTATTATTTGAAAACAAACATCGGTTACACTTTTCTGATAATAGCATTATATTTCTGTATTGACACTGGGCAAGACTGCAGTGATGGAGTAATGTATGGGCATGGTATTGTTTCCAGTTAGAACAAAGACTCCTTAGGTACGGTACTTCCAATAAGAGTTACACAGATACATGGCATACAATTGGCAGGGTTCCTAGGTGTAGAGCTGCGATGCAAGCATAGGTCCGTTCCCAACTACGGTGATCTGAAACGAACTTAATGTTGGTGTTTGACTTCTTTTCTTTTTGTCGTCTACGCAGCAATGGTAGAAAATCGTACCACGTGACCTGCGTACTCAAAAAGAGCTGCAGAGTTGCGGAGTGCACAGACTAACCACGTCCAAAGCGGAGAACATTCTTCGTAGAACCAACTGCGCCAATGTAGTGCAATGTCCAATTATCGCTGTTAGATTGAGATTACTGAACTCATGAACTAAACTTTATATATGTGTAATCTCAATTTTAAAGAGGATGTATTCATCTGAGGTTAAATGAATCTGTTCCGACCTGCTAAATCACACTGAATGTTGCGTCGTAATAACCGTTAGCTCAGTGTAAAATTCCTACTTCATGGAAAGGTAGAGCTCTTAAGCACTGTAAATTCTATGTCATGCCAAGTGGTAGCATAGCCACGGTGAAGCATTAAGCCATCGCTGTGAGAATGGATACAGTAGTTGATCAAGTGGGTGGAAGGCAGCTAGGAGCTCTTGCACAAGCGTATCGCCTGATTAGGCTAAAGTACTTGACCTTTTTATGAATTTCTACCATCTTCTGTGTCGTGTTTTGATATCCACTATCTTCTATTTATTCATTCAGGAAAAATCCGAACTTGTTTGAACAGAGTAGATCAAGGCCAGATTTATTGACGCGTTGGTGGGTGGCAGGACCTTGTCTTTTTACCCTTAGTTTTCGACACTCTCAGCGCCTATTTTCCCATACCTCTCATTTCGATCGGTTACATTTTAAGTATTGCTTTTTATATTTTTCAATTGTTACTTGTAGTTTTCTTAGTTATTTTTAACTTAAGAGGAGCAACAGCGAAGTCCATTGCTCCCACTCCTGCACTAGAACTGCCCAATGGGTTCCGCTTGATCAATTAACGAACACGTAGAGCATTACACTATGGAACGGTGCTCTTTTTCCACTGCATTTGCTAGGAAAATAGTTTTGGGCAGTTACCAGGGCTTATCTGTGGCTATAGGCTTTCTGATGGTGAGGTTCACCTCAGCTTGGATAGATGAGTGAGGAAGATGACGGTCTGACCATCGCGGTCTGAAACGTAGGAATCTAGGAATATCGACTGCCCACGGTGAGTGGTTTTTAGGTTTGTTTTATTTTATATAAACACACCACATGTTTTTCAGATCTCAGCACTTCTTGCATTCGATGAGGCTCCTTGTATCTATCGTTCGCGAAAGTCTACGGATTTGTCGGTTCGGCCGTTACTTCATGACTTTTGGTCTTCTTCGTGAATGTCGTGGAATACTGGTCGAGTCGATCCTTTGTCGAATTCTAGAATAGGCGTACTAGGGCGTTCCCATTTCGTCACATGCAAGTGCCATCTTTTTGTGGATAGGAGGAAGCCAAAATTCCAAACAATTCTGCTACCAAATACTCGACCCTAGAGATGAAAGGATTTGGGAGACCTTGGGAAGAGGAGTAAACCATTTATGGGCCTAATATTCACATTTCTCTTAATTCGCTTAGCATTCTTATCGCCGGTATGATTACAATTTCGAGGTGTAGTGGATAAGTAACGTTTCTATAGAAATATGTTTAGACATGGAGAAACATTTTAGGATGATCGTTACCATTCTCGGTGTGAACTCACTATTGGGGCAACATCTTATCCATTTTATACAACGCTCAGAAAAATTGCCATTGAAAATTGTCACGTGGTCGCACTCGTCTCCGTTTCTTCCACGACTCCCAGGTGAGCGTTTTCGTAGACTATTTCGATCTAATCTACCATAATTACAATGATTCTGTACCATAAGTGAAGTTAGTAGCAACCCGTTGGTTAACACCTACCCATATTAGGTCAAATATTAGAGAATATAACCAGAATAACGCTGAGATATTTGCAAAATTCCGGACTGCGGGTGTTTGCGGTGGGGAACGAACGCGTCATTTATTACCTTTTCCGGGGGCTAACGCGTTCACCGCCACATCATGTGGGTCCTTCGTTTCGCCTGTCTCTCAGCTAGCTCTATCGGTCCTTTGCCATCAGCAATCACCCGTCAACGAGATTTACCTAGGGAGCCCAAATCGGCAACGAACCCAGTTAAGCTGACTTTGTCGTCGAAATCACAGTGTTAGCTTTTATTTACTGCCTTTTACAGTTCTTCATGGCAAGGTATTACGTTGCATCACACGTAATACCTTGCCATGGAGAACTGTAATAAACAGTAGATACAACTTAACATTAGAGAGAACACTTTTTTACCTATCGGTTTCCTCAGTACAAGATTTGAAACATGAAATCTATATGTTTAGGAATCGATTGTTCCTCCATTAGGCATTTCACTGGCTTTCATAACCTTCGTGAAGCCGTGGAACAGGCCGATATCGTAAGACTAGCTCTATCAACAACCGATCCAAATGCTGGTTTAAGGAATTTTTCTCCAAGAAAAATGAAATAGTCCTTTAGGTGTGCAATCTGCATGAAGCTCAAGACCTTTGTCTTCTCCCGGATGAAAAACAGCTTCAAATTCATAATGTAGAGTGTACGTTGCTTGCATCCGTCATTTATCCTCTTTAACCTCGAAAAGCACCCATAATCACTAACGCCTTCAGTGGTGTGAAAATGACGTTTGACCTGTGTCTGTTTTCTTTCAACTACAAGAGTTGTTACTTAGTACTTCTGACGTCCAAATTTTTTTATCCCTGTGAGTTGAGCTCAGCTCATTCCGGCCCAATTTCTTCAATCCCAATTAGTTAGTGAGAATCTAACCACGTTAGAGGTTAAGTGTACAAAGTCACGAGCAATAGTGGGTGAACAACATGCCGCGTCGCCAATAATTCTCCATTCCTATAAATGTTTTGGTTCTTGCCATTCTTAGAGCATAACAATCGGGTTGTCAATTACGACTAGTTTTTTTTTCGTTGTGAATACTTCCTTCTATTTCTTTCAGTTGTTCAGTCATTAGTGTCATACATTCGCTGTCCACTTGTACATCTCTCTAGTGTATTTGTTCAATGCTCGTCTCGTTGGCCAAATGTCTATGAGAATGAATATGATGGAACTAAGTACAAATCCCAGTGGCCCTTCCCGGTAAGGTTGAAGATCTTTGCTGTCATTCGTTTTGTTATACAGTTATGACACGTACGTCATACTTTATCCATTATACATGTACAACATATGAACTAGTCCTAAAAGTTTCCATGTGGTCATTTTACAGAAGTACTGCTCATCAAAGTGGGAAGCGGAACAGATTATTGCTAAAGCTTCTGTGGATGCCTTCATTATGTGAGCCTATTGTTCTGGTAAATTTATGACAATCGTGTGGTTATTATGACAATGTCGAAGAGCGCGTTACCTTTCGAAGACACACTGTTTATATCCTAATTAGATTATTTCTTATGACCTAATTGGACGGATTTAACCGCGTAGTCTGTGAGAAGCTTCGTGTAGTGAATCATGAGATTTAATAGGTCATTTATTGCTCACACAGATTAAGAAAGTGTGGAAGGCATACAGTGCTAATAGGTAGTACTCGAAGAAAGCAATTTTAAAGTATTACGACTTTCTTTACGAGATAGGCCGTTGTTTCTTTCTATTCCATTCTTGCTTTCATTATTTATTCCTATACAAAATTCGGCCGAATCTCCACTCGAAAGACTTTCATTGACGACGGATAAAGACCACAAGTATTTGAACTTGAACTTGAACCGCCCGTCCTTTCTAGTTGTGCGGGCCCCAGCATAATCACCATTTTTCGGAGATTTGCTGGTTAAGCCATTGCAGTTTTCTGGAATCCAGAAGACAGCTTGGCCAAAGTTTACCCCAGGTCGTCACCACGACAGGCAGTCGCAGTCCTTGTGGATCAGAGAGAGCACCATGAGACTTTGATACCAAGACGGTGGTGGATCCTATCCTGGTATTGGTTTATTCTTAGCTAGGCTTCCTGATGGAAACGCCGGACTCCTTCTCAGCTTGGGAGACTCTACCGGGGGGACAAATCCCGTCGTACATCGCAGTCCGACACCCTGAACATCTCCTAGCCACGATGAGGCGGTAAACCGTTGGGAGGAAGACCACAAGTAGGATAAAATTTGTGCAGTTTGTATTGAATTCATCCAAAGAAGTGTGACATTCACACAGTTATTGTTTGTATTGTTTTATCATGGTCAAATGAAGTGGTGTTTTAAAAGTCATCAGACGGAGAGTGCAAGAATTGAGATTATTTTAAAATTTGTGTTAGTCGATGTGCGTCGTAGAAACAACCTTCATGTATATGGTCGACAACATCTTAAGGCAACCGTACAAGTTTTTCTTTTGTTGAACGACAAACGGAGATAGGCACCAATAGTCATCTATAGATGTAATGGACGTCTGTGCAGTTCTATACAAGTTGTCATTTGGGAAGTATTCAGGCGTTGTGTGCCGGCCTATGGAGAAGGAGATATTCACTCGATCCTCACTGACCTTATCAAATTCACCGATAACGGTGATATATTATCAGTGGGAGACGGTGAAGGAGTAGTACAGGTATGACAACGATTTGTCGACGAACTGTTTTACGTCTGCGGTGGGGATTGAATCTGCTATTACCTTTCTAGGATGTGACGGGTTCACCACCACATCCTGAGAGTCTTTCTTTTCTTTCAGCTTAACTGGGTTCAGTGCCTATTTGTGCTCCTCAGAACAATCCCGTTGCCGAGTGATTGTTGACAGCATCCATAAAAGGCGGCTGAGAGAAAGGAGAAACAGAGAACCCGCATGGTGGGGATGTGAACGCGTTAGCCCCGGGATGGGTAATAGCCTGTTCGATCCTCAACGCAGACATCTGCGGTCCAGAATATTGCAAATATCTCAGCATTGTTTTGGTTACATTTAACGTCTTACCTTGCCATGAAAGAACAATAGGCAATAGATAAAAAGTGTTTTACGTCTTTTCAAACTATTCACTAATTCAGCTATTGCTATCGGCGTTGATCCCTGAGGCATGCGCCGTTCATTCGAGTTTATTAAGCATCGTTGGTGATTGAATACATATTTGGCTTTTACAATGACTCATGGTGGCCCAGCGATGTAACCAGCCAGTGCTGTTATCCTCCGAGACAAATCTGGAACCAGTTTGTCGTCCCCGGAGGGATGAAAGGCTTGGTAGCGTGGGACGGGGTGATCGATCTTGTGCGTATTGATGAGCGCCTCCGACCACTGCGCCACAAGCGTTTCACGATTATTACACATTTATTTATTACCACTGTTAAAGCCGACACGTTTGAGGAGAGCGTATATGTTGTCGGTTTCAGATGGCTTACGCAGGAAATTTAGCAGCCGGCCTCTGGAGCGCAATGCTGAAATTGATGCATGATCATGACACTCTTCGACCTGGTATTGATGTGATGCTTGCAGAGTTTTCTTTCCTTTCCAGCTTATCCGATATACTTTTAGCTATTGAGAACAAGGGCTTCTTTTCAAGGCGTTGTTTTCAGAAGGAACTAATGTGTTTCACTACACATCTGACCAGTCTGTCCTTACACAAAAGCAGTTCATCAAAGAAACTATTATTTTAGCTGATGGAACACCGAACAAGAATGTGTTTACGCTATTCAAGCCTTTGCTTTTGGTGAGACTTTCTGATTATAAAAACCATTAAACGATGTTTGCTTGAATACTCGAGTAGTACTGAGAATCATGTGGACCTTAGCACAACTTCATTCCGTAATTTGGTTAGCGGCCTAAATTCCTTTGTTAGGGGGAGGAGTTGGGGTTGGAGACATTTGAACTACACTTTTGTGTGCTATAAATAGAAGAAAAGAACACGGATGGGATTCATATGAGCTTTCAATGGAGGTTCAGAATTTTCTGCACTATTTTTTTGCCATTTCATTCTTGCGAGGAAACCTACACGCAAGTGTTTCGGAACTTTACGCCTCTATTACTAAAATATTGCCGAAATTTTTGGCAGTCATCTACTTCCAGCACTCCCGAGTGTACGAGCTAAAGGCGATTGCCAATGTCATTTTTGTGAGGTGCTGCTCGGCCTCTGAAAGCTTTGTGCCGTAGACGATTCACAAAGGCTGAGAAATGGTAGTTGCAATTTACCGCTCTTGGAGAATATGACGAATGTAGTAAAACTTCCCACTCGTGTTTCATAGTTCTCTGAAGTTCACATTCAAAACATGTAGACGCGCGTTATCACCCTGGAGTTTGGTGCCATGCTGGAACATGTTAGCTTATATTATAATAATTACTTGGATACTTGGCTAGTCCGTCTTAACTAGTTGTGCGAACCCCAGCACAATCTCTATCTTTTCGGAGTTTTGCTGGTTTAGCCATTGTGGTTCCATGGACCACGGATCTTCCATATATGAGGGATCTCGAGCCGGTTAGTCGCGAGGCAACGTGGCGCCTCCCTAAGTGGCGGATAGGGGTTAATCGCGGACCAAGAGCGACCTTTGCTTCCCTGAGAAGCAAGGGGATACAGGCGATGGACTCACTGTTTCTGCTGCACCGATTTGGCACATACTCTCTGTATTTACGAGGCGTATGCATGCATGCGTGTGGGTGCGTTCTCGCTTATTCGGATTGTATTCTACGAGTCAATTCGGCCAAAGCCTTGCAATCAAGTGACAGAGAACTATATGGGAGGCGGTTAGGAGTCTCCTCCAACCAACAGATAAACTCCATGTCCACTCTGGGAGAGCCTGGCAAGCTGCCTTTACGATTAAAAGATGTGGATCAATACCGGCTTTGACAATCTTCGTCGTTTACGCCCGGCATCAAGCTATGACGAAGAAGAAGTCGAAGCTTTCTACATGGACTTGGAGAAGTTCTACAGAGAAGATCACACATTCTTCAAGGTTATCATTGGAGATTTCAACGACAAGATTGGACCAAGAAGAAAGTCTGAAGAACGTCACATTGGGACCCACGGATTAGAATGGAACGAACATGGTTAACGGCTATCTGAGTTTATCATGGCGACCAAGACAATCCATGGTAACTCGCAATTCCAGAAGCTCCACCCTCGGCGCTGGACGTGGAATTCCCCAATGGAGAGTACCATAACGAAAGAGACCACATCATAGTAAATAGTAGGTTTTGCCTAACCGATGTCGCTATTGTCCCAAAATTCTACACAAGGTCAGACCATTCTCTGCTTCGTGCAAGATTCTATTTCTCGCGGAAAGGAGAAAAAGCAGCTAAATTCAAAACCGAAATCCCAGAACCACCATAAACTGGCACTTATTCAATTCATTAGTCGGCTGTTGTGAGGATGCCGTTGTCGATAACATCGACGAAGAATGCGATCGGCTCATTCAACTTCTTCACGTTAGTGCTATGAAAGCTGAGAGTTCGAAAGTCACCAAAAGGCGTCTGTGTCAAGAAACTTTCCAGCTGATACTCCAGCATGGAATCGCACGAGCTGCAGGCAACCGCGAACGAGCGTCCGAACTTGCAAAGCAATGCAGACAGGCAATAAAAGAAGATCTTAAGGAGAGAAGGGCGGCAGTAATGGTCAAAGCTGCGGAGGCTGGAAAAACATTCGCAAAGCCAACCGAAGCTTTGCCAATTACAAGACCAAGATGGTTGTACTCCGGCGTCTAGACGAAACAGTTACGGCTTCCAGAAGGGTGCTACTCAGTGCTTGTGAAAATAGTGGAAGAACTCTATCTATTTATAACTGAGACAAGTTTCGATAAGGTTTTTCGTATTATAAGCCAAGGTACTTCTTATTAATCCTTTGGCATTTTCTATAAGTGAAAATAAAGTTGAGCTGAGGAGAGCTGCGTGAGTTCTTTCTTCAATCTACATATCATGGGCTATTGTCAATATTTTGTTGGAAATATGACCAACATGTGCTGATTGCGTAAAAATTTGCCCTCCGGAAACATGCTGGTTAAGCACTAAAATGGGTAATCTCGCAAGTAATTTAGACTGGCAAGCGTAACATTGGTCGCTGTTACATTCCTTTCTTGCCCATGTGCTACATCTACTATGTGATTTTATTGATAATGAGCGCGCTGTCAAGAGTTGTGACGATTCCACGCTGTATTCGCACAGTAAGTTTGTCATATTTATCCTTGTTTATTTCGTCAATTAATTTCTCTTGCGCAGTATTAGTGACGCCGTTCAGTGGGAGCAATTCGCTTTTTCGACGACTCTTCGGACCCTTCCAACCTTACTGGATGTGTGATCGGTATCGAGCTTATCTGGGACCACCTTACTCTCTCCGCTTCACAAAAGACGACACCTGTCTCTAAAGAAGTCCTGAGAACGCCCTAGCACGGTTGTCCCAAGATTCCATAGAGAATCAATTCGCCAAGTATTCAACAACATTAATAAAGAAGGTGAACATTGTTCAAACAGTAACCAAACCCATAGGCAGAACTTCGAAGATTGCCATGAATGGCGCATGCGAGGGAACGAATGCAAGAATTGCAGGCATACGCACAGTAGACGTGAAAGACGGGTCGTGAAAAACAAATCCTCTTGGTAAAGCTTCGCAAGTGCCTCAGCAGCATGGCTGACTTCTACAAAGAACAGAGCCGTTAACTAGCATATACACTATCTTATTTTCACTTATATGATAACATCGTTCTCATAACACCAAGTGGTGCTAATGAGAAAAGAATACGGATAAGTTTCGAGCGTGCGTATGAGTACCGGTATACGGCAACGTCGATCTATTTCTAATCACCTTCATGAGAAACAGTTTATTCCTTGTGTACAGGTAAGGGATAAATGATAAAGCTGTCGGTGTTGTTCAATCCCTGAGGGATGCGCCAAGCATTCGACTTCATTAAGTATCATTCGAGGTTATTGAATGCATATCTGGCCTTTACAATGACTCGCGGTGGAGTACCGATGTATCGAGCCAGTTCTGCTATCCTCCCAGACAAGTCTGATACCAATTTGCCGACTCCAGAGGGATGGAAGGCTTGGTGAGCTATGGGCGCGAGGATCAATTCAACGTGTGTGTTGCAGTGGCGCCTCCAACCACTGCGCCTCATGTGCCCTTTGATGTATGTAGATATAACGATTATTTATGCTAAGGTTCGCACAAAATCGGTCTTGAGTTATTTCCTTGTGCTTCATTTGTTTCATCGACTGCGGAGTGAACGAATGTGTCCAAAATCTGGAAATGCTTCTCGCTTCCATTTGAGAACTCCACATAATGAATTGATTATTAGTCCAAAAAGAGAAAACGAGAAAGATTCCTGTGAAAAGCGAAGAAAAAGAAAGCAGAACAGTAACATTCGTCCACATCCTGCTTCGTTTTGCTAAGCTGAATATAGTCTTTTCCATCTATAGTCCAGTTATTGTCGCTAGCACATCGCATTCATTCTTTTACTTCTTGCTTGATCTTGTTCAATTCTTCTTATTCGCAAAAGATTCATCTGATTTTTAAAGAATTCCTTATTTCAGCTGCCTCATCCGGCTTTCGGCCACTTCTATTTTAATCATTGGACGTTTTTCAACACTAGCAAAAGCCGACTTCTGCTCAATTACGTGCCAGAGATTGACCTCCAAGTGGGTTTAATAAGCGTTATGACATTCAAATCCTGATCCTTCGACCAAGTTTACGTCGCAATATGCATTGATAAAGTAATATATGGGCTTTACAAATAGTGCTTTGCTCGAAGGTTCGTCTCTAGGAAAGAAGGTTTAAATTTCACAGTGAGTGGATTTCACAGTAAGCTTCACCGTTCTTGCAGAATTTAAGGAAAATGACCATTTCCTATATGTCTACGATCACCATCACATCAAGTAGCTGCCATTTTTTCTGAACGATCTCCCATTTTACTTCACATTTTTGAAGTTGAAAACACGAGGTTGCTACTTTATTCCTTATATGGGAAAAAGCTGACGTCTTGGCGGATTTCGCTTTTTTCAGAGCCAAGTGATGTCAAGTTGACTGCAATCTACTCGGCCAAACACATTCATAACCAAAGCAGAGAAAATACTAAACCTACGTTTCAAATTTCACCTCATACTGATTCTTTGATCTGAGCCAGGTGTACTCTCGCCTATGTAAGACTCTGTGCAGGTGGTTTCCATTAAATAGCTGGAGGCTTTGTAAACATCAAAACGTAAGCGCTTGAAAGAAACTATTAATTACTTGGATCTTGGATGAGACTTCTTCACTGGTGCTGCGACCCCAGCATAACTTCCATTCGTTTCTCTCTCGTGCAATCGCCGTCTCTGGTGCTGGTCCGTTTCAAACATGGTGACTTTCGCGAAGTTTATTCCGTTGTCATGAAATCTTTCCCATCTGCGAATGCAGATGGTTAACGTTATCACGAGCACCTCCGCCATCGTTTGCGTGGTCGCTCACGAGGTCAGTTGCATTATCTTGAAATTCACTCTACTGTTCTTTTCACCCATTTGTCACTCGATTATATTCTCGTAAGCCGCAAAGATGTGGTAGGTTTTGAAGATCTTAGTTACGCATTCCGTCTAAACGCTGTGAGTGTCGATTAAATTGCAAAGAACATTATAGAAGCGCGCGCTTCGTTCAGTTCATTGAGCATCGTCTCTGCTCCACTTCCCCGTAGGACTGAGTCACGTACGCACTGTGAGGTGTTCGGATGGTGGGCTAGTATGTGCCTTAAGAACTGGGAAAGTACTGGAGTTAAAGACGATGTTATTCCATCCACAGAGCTGATCATGGGTCTAACCTTTAATAACGATCGATCTACAGACGCTAAGTCATCAGTGGTTACTAACTTACAATTTTTCATAAGTAAGTTGGTATTCAAACTTTGAGACGAAAAATAACTGATGGCTTTAGACCACACCTTTTCTCATTTTGTTCACTTCGTTGTTGAATTTTCGGCAATGACCCTTATATTCCTTTCCAAATAATATGCGATAAAAGGAAACATCTTTAAGATGATTTCATTATCTCCACATCTAGTTTATGAGGAATTTCTCCAAGTTTTCCGACTTATCACTAACAGATAGCTTCTATCCTTATCAGCACTCGAACCTCTCGCATGCTATATTTTTGCGTTTGTGGTAGGTTTTGAAGATCTTAGTTACGCATGGGTCTAACCTTTAATTCAACTCTTAAGCTTCAACGCTATCTCTAATACGGAATCGATCTTGAAGCCCTATACCTTGTCACGTATGCCTGGTTAACATAGACGATCTAACACATTACACAGAAGTGATATTTAAATGAGAAAGAGGCACGTTAACCATCCATGTGAACTTTCTGCGGTTGGTCTCCTCGTGAAATACTCAGTGGACGACCGATAGAAAGCGATGAGCTTGCGAGGAAGCTACACTGTTTTCAATTCAGTTGAAATCTACGTTTTGTATTCTTTTCGTTCGAGTTGTGGAGATATTTAGCTAAGTGTTGCAGTCAACTTGACCTTTCCAAGCTCTGAATTAGGCGAAATTCGCCGAAATGTTTCCTTTTTCCTAAATAAAGAGTAAAACAACGACTTCGCTTTTGCTCACTTGGAACGCATTGAATTATTTGATCGATGTCGAAGTTAATACAAGTTCGGTCTTGGGAATTGGTACAAGACGTTACTGATTTACTTCTTAGGAAGCGCTAAATCGATGTCAGATGTACTATCGTCGCCTTGAACCCCAAGACATTCCATCATATTCCTGGAATCCGTGCACGTCGTGAGATTAGCGA